AGTCGGTAAGTCTTGGAAATCAATACAAATATTTGCATGTCTCGGTGATATAAGTGTAAGTATGCGACGTGGACTGAGAAAAACGAAATGAAACGAAACACGCAGAGGAAAACGGTTCATATGTGATTTATGGTTATTGCATATATTTTTGGTTTCACAAAAAAAAACAGCGAAATTTATTTTTTTGTTCCGTTATGTATTCCCCGTTCTATTTTCGCTTTGATTTTCCTCTCACTCACTCTCTCTCTCTCTCTCTCTCTCTCTCTCTCTCGACCAACTGAAGAAGCTAATTTTTCCCATTTGACTGCCAATCCGAAATTAACAGTTGTGTACTTGTTGTTTCGGATTTTTAGCACAATGCTAGCGTTATTATTATTTTATCTCGAGAATGGGCGGGTGCACTTACGAACAAACTGTGAAATGAACCTCGGGAACGTATGATATTTGTTGGATTTTCATTTCAAGGAAGTTACAAATTGCGATTTCCAAACTGCTAAAATAAATTTTGTATTCATTTGCGCACGAGTCGTGAAGCACCTCGTTTTTGGGGTTCGGTAACGAAAATGCGGTAAATAATAGTTGTTGAAAAAAAAAACAGGCAAGAAAACCCCCAAAAATACGGAATATTTTCGTGTTTTATGTTAATTTATGAGCATCTGTCACGTGTTAGGAAAATTTAAGACACCATAAAATTTAATGATCGTACTGTGTGGCATTATTTCAACTACTTAAACTGGATTTTTTTTTCGCTTCATTCATTGGTACACTATGTACTGTAGTGCCTCGAATAGCGATCCGAAATTTGACTTTACTCAAAAGTGATTTTTTTGTTCTGGTCGGGATTGACAGCAGACATTTCATTTTGTATATGACAAAATGGAAAGTTTAGCGGACTCCATACAATCAGATAAGAGCAATACCGAATCTGAAGGCTTCTAATTTACGAAATATAAAGGTATCACCGAATCAAAGGGCAAAAAAACCTAAGTCTCAAATGAAACCAAAACGCATGTGGAAATATACGAAACATGTGTGTGGGATTTGCTTTTTTGCGTATATCGTCATACCATTGTCCTCCGGTTGTTTCCGTTATCAGTAGCAGTAAATTTTTGTTTATAGCTTGGATATATTTTTTTCGGTTGCGTTTCTTCAGTTGATGATAGCCTGAAATGTCTATAACAAATTAATGGCTTACAATTTATATGTGTGTAACTGTGTGCATGGTTTAGTGTAGTCAAAAAAAAAAAATACGATTTTCTTGCAAAAACAGCGTTTCAAGTTAAACTCATGAACGACCAAATCGTACCGCCAACTATCATACACACACGTAAATATATAGTTAGCACACATTCAAGTTGTGAATCTATGAAAGTGAATAGATTCGGCCTATCCCTCGTGCGTAGCCCAACGAATGTGACCGTTTAACTCTTGCAATTTTTTTCCTTCGTCAAAATCTAAGTCTGTAAACCAAATGGAAAAAAAATCTCACATTTATTAGACACTATCAAATCTATTGAGTTAAAAAGGAATAAAACGAAATGTATCGAAAATTCACGTATTACGCAAAAAAAAAACGTTCTTTTTCCATTCGATATTTTACGACCATATCGTATCGAAATGATAGACATCCCGGTGGAGAACAATCTAAAACACTCGTGTGAAGTTGGAACATGAGGTGTGCCAGTTATAATTATATGGAGTCAGTTCATTTCACTAATTTTTTAGTGACCCCGGAAATTCAAACGAAAAATTGAACTTTGGCCAATGTTGATGGGAGGCAAAAATCACTTATAAATCATAAGCAGAAATGAATTTGCTTCAAGACAACCAATGGATATGCTAAAGAAACCTGTGGATTGCGGTTGCAGCCGTGTCAGAGCACAATACGTGATCAAATTTATTGGAAAAGGATATGAAACGTGCACATAGCATTCTCGTTTTTTGCCCCTCTGATTTACTGGCTGAAAGACGAAGTTATTTTACATTTTGCTTTATTACGGCGGATACGATGCACAAAAAAGTTATTGAAAAAAGGAAGCTAATCGCGATCACTTTCAGTGAAGAAATTCAACAAACAATGGAAAACGAGAGAAAAACACACACACACACACCAACTGATAAATTTTTATTGGATGCGATATAAAACCGCAGCATTGTAAAAAGACTGACACAATGTTGAGCTAAGTGAGTGTCCATTTTTTATGGTTGTTTTTTTTAATGAAGTTCGTCGAGGTGTGGAGAAATCAGGTAGTTTTTTTTCGGCAGCATTGAGTTCTTATTGCTTTCTCCGTCGTGCAATTTCATTTGATCCCATTGTGTGAAGTGTTGTCGTTCGCTTGCCTTTCATTCACAAGTAATAGATCAGGTCGATGCAAAAGCTCATTAGACCAAATAATTCAATGGCCAATGGAAACGTGACGAAACTTGGTAGAGATAAAGCACCTAACACAACTACCATTAGCTATAGCTGCACATTTAAATTTCCGTTTCGGCCATTACACAGCTCAAACATTCCTAGTGCCTGCATTCCGGTAAACGCGTTAGTCTCCCCGAATGATATGTGCGATTATACAAAATGTACGGTCGCAAGTCAAAATAGTTTTTGTGACGGAATGATATAAACGCGAGTTGGGGATTCTATATGGCAATTTTTGGATTCTCAAAGCCATGCAATCACACACACTCGAAGGCCATTCAAGAGACCAAAGAAGGAATTATCGCCATAACGTAACCGTTGTATGGGTGCGGCAAATATCAATAAAATGAAAAAAGAACCCCGAAACACATAAAATACGGTGGCTGTTATCTTTTTACGAATGTGCAAATGTTAAAGCTTTGCAAACGCAAAATTCGTAACGTCGTCTAGATGCTCAAGCACTTTTATCGCATCGGAGTTAGTTTTTTTTCTTCTCTTTGCCAGTCGGTTTTTCTTTTTTTCACATTTTTTTTTTCTTCTTTCGTCTCTCCACATCGAGAGCTGCAAAATAATTGTGTAAGACTCTTCGAACGACCCTTCTCTCTTTCTCACTTTCTGATGAAATCTTTTGTGCGCCTTGAATTTAGAAGATAATCATTACAGTCACTTGATCCAAAGATCTCGGATTACGTTGCGATGGTTCGCATTGGCTTTGTGTTGCGTATGTTCTTTTAAGTGCTGCCAAATTGTGTTTATGGTAGGTTGTGTTCAAGCATTGCGATTGTAGAGGGAAAATGGCAGAACATTTGTTTCGGCAACACGGTATTCGACACACAAAATGGTCTTGGATTAGATTAATGTTTGACGATATAAAATGCTGTGTATGGTGCATGCACTTGTTTCGTACACTTGTACCGTGTACCGTGGCGCGTATTTCTTCTTGCGACGGTGTAAAGCTGTAAAAATGCACTTAGTCGAAATTGTGATTTTATGCTGGAAATGTGCCGTTCTATTCTTGACTCACCCGACCAAGATAAGACCACTGAACGAATCGCGTGATCGACATCATAAGTTTAGACAATTTGTAAGCATTCGAAAAGAAGATTACAGAGAACTTATTTGATTTGACACATTTATTTCGAATCATTTTTGATTGATTCTCTCGCCATCGTAGTGAGGCTTTCAATTAACACATTCAAATTATGTCTCTAACTCTATAATTTACAATGTTCAAACAAAAGCTCAGCGATGTGCAAAATGCGGAGAAGGCGAATGAGAGAGAGAGAGCGAGAGAAAGAGAGAGAGAGAGAGAATTTCGGTAAATTTTAATATAGCTCTTGGTTTAACGAGACCCTTTCCGTCGGAACAAAATGAAAGGGACCACGAATGGAAAGAGAAACTTTTCCATATTATCCGAAAATTGTTCTTTCTTGGGACTCATTAGACAATTTCGCCATGTTGAACATTACCTCTTCGCTTGGCGGGGCTTTAAAATCCATTCCTCTGCATTCGTATGTTGATTATCTCTGGAGGAAAAAAAAGGAACATTCAATGGTGTCGTTTAATCCGAGGCGCAAAGTTATTGTCAATCATGTAATTACATACATTCGAGGAGAAACATGTATGTGGGAGTGAAAATGACATTGTATTTCGTGTTATTGACTCGAAAATGAGCCACGACATATGTACGAGTAAATGAAAAGCGCGAAAATTCCAAGCAGATTGCAAAGCATTGCCATGTTCGTGGCTATCAAGAGAATTTGCATAAAACAACAACGAGAAATTCTGCCTATTCGCTGCTTAGCTCAGCATGGCAAAATGTACGCATCACTGAACGCGAAATTTACAACGCACAATGACATCAGTTCAATGGTGCATTTATTAGAAATAGGTATAAAAAAACCGAAAGTAGGCAGCTTGCTGCTTTGGATAAGTCCATTTGAAATCCCGAATATGTCAGATTACAGTTTCGATTATAATCTAAAGCGCGCAATGTATCAACGCGAACTTGAAATGACAATTATACGATTTATTCACACGCAAAATGTCTCTAAGTTTCCGAAGTTTTACAGCTTTATTGTTGAAATTTTCCATTTTATGGCTTGCGTCACCAGAAACCATTTGTTTGCTGTATATATATATATGTACGAGATGATAAATTCGCTGGTTTTTCGGGTGCGTAAAAGATGTGCGTCAATGTGCAGAACATTTGAATTGAGCGATTGAGTGAAGTGGAAATTCTCTTGCCGTTTCTCTAATTTCTCCCAATTAGATATAGAGCGTGCACACAATTAGCTCCTTAAAAAGGATCCGCCAAGAGTAAAAAAGCGATTTAATTAGAATTAACTCGAATTCGGAATGGGTCTTAAATGTGAATTATAAGTTTCAAAAGATTTGCGTCAGGCATTGGCACAATTTTCCATCTGCTTCCATTCGGGCAATTCTCTCAACGGTTTCTATTTTCTTTACGTTCTTTTTGTTTTGTTTTATACAATAAATTCACTTACCAGGAAAATCCATACCATCTCCTCCTTTTGTGTGACATTCGTTTTGATAAGTAGTCGAAGTGAATGAAAGACGACGGTTTTTTTTCCGTTTAATTTGATCTAAACTTTTGTTTTATATTTCCATATACATCATTCAGTGCTACAAATACAGAATACAACTTGTGCACAATCAACTTGAAATGTGACCTACTGAATAAAATATTATTATAATATATAAAAAATATTTTTTTTTTTACTTCTGACACTGAAAAGGTATCTCTTTGAAGAATTCGGAATAGAATACAATCCATCACAATTCATTTTTCATATGCTTTGAAGAAGAAGAAAAAAAACATGCGTGCATTTCATGCCAACCGAGTTAGTAAAATAGAATTATTATCATTAGAGAAAATTAACTTTTTTTCTTTTGATATGAAAAAATAACCGGTTTTCTTATTTCAAACCGCCAAAAAAGTATGAAGATCATCCAATAATGAGATTCGTTTAAATGTTATTGCATTTGATGTTCAAATATCACCTAGCGTTGGAACCATCATATTTTGAAAGTTGCTCAGTATTTCATAATCATCTAGGTTTCGTCGTTCGGTCATTAGATGCTTCGGTCTTGGGAGTGATAGACAGAGAGGGAGCTGTTCCGGCATCACAGAATGGTGTGTTATCAGTGCTTTTAATGAAGAAAATTCTTTCGCACATCCCTATACAGAATATACAAACACACACACACACACACGAAATAAGGACAAACGTATAAATTTAACTGTAATAAAACTAATCCGCTTAAGCAAACACCAATTATTATTATAACAGTCATTTTATTGGAAATTTACTATTGATTCGCGGCTACATTTCATTTTCACCGTTTAATTAGTTAACTTACTTTGATTTTGTATCCTCTCGGGGTCCTTAAAATGAGATAATGAACAACTTTCGGTGCTGGTGGCGGGGCACGTAATGATAATGCGAAACATCCCGGTTTTGTACTACTCTCACGCACCAAAAATTCACCGGGGCGCTTACGTCGCAACACCTCCAAGGAAATTTCACGCGGAACGCCAATTTGAAACCATGGTGCGTCCTTCAATTCGGTTTGTTCCATTATACTAAGACCACGTATACGTTTCTGTTTTGTCGAAAAGGCAAACATTTTTGGGCTTGAATTGGCTACAATTTAATGGCATCCAATTGCAAACGAAATGAAACAGAAATATCACCGAAACGTGTGCACAGGTTGATCGCAGGCAAAAATCAAAGAAATGCAAAGAAAAGGAATATTAAAAAAAATCAGTTGAATCGTGAAATAGACTGTGATTAGCTTCTTTAATTAGAGTAATTTATATGTATGACCGTGGTCGTATGCAATAAAAACATCTACGATAGAAACATTACATGAAAAAAGAAGAAAAAAAAAACAATATATTTACCACTGCTTGTTTCACGCAAAAAGTTTTGCTTGAAATCGAATTCGCAGTAGTCCTTTGTGCGTCGATTGTCCAACAGCACTGATGTCAAAGACTTGCGGCACGAATCGCCGAATTTGCTGGCGATCAGTTCATTTGTATCGCATAGTGAATCGTCCGTTATATTATCGACTTTCGATGTGATTTGCGCTGTTGAAGCTGATAGATAATTGCTGGTACTTGTAAAATTGTTTTCATTCAACAATGGACGGTATTCATCTCCACTTCGAAGCAAACTATTTGATAAGCGCTTCACAAGTGGTGCTTTATCAATAAATTTTCGACAATTGTTCAGGTTATACGATGTAGGTGAATTATCCTCTTCCGAACTCGACGATGAAAGACGTTGATTCGTTGCATTTTCAAGATTGTTGTTGTTATTGATATGACTGTATATTAGAATGGATAGACAAAGAGAGATCAATGAGATGATGATTATTTCTACAGCTTACAGTTTACAGGTATAACAGTTATTACAACCGAAAGCTTAAGATAATTTTAGAAATGATTTGAAGAGAAAAAAAAAACGAATTGGTGAGATTTGGTGAAACATTTACTTTAAGTTTTGTGATGAAAATAAATTGGTTGGACGCTGTCGGAATGGTGAACTCTTGGACAGTGCGAAGAAGCGGTTCATCGGCTTTTCGCCGTTGTTGTTGTTGAATGTATTCTTGTAATCGTTATTCATTTTTTAAAATATTCTCACTCTAAACTGTTGCACACGTTAGCAATTGAAACCACACCTAAATCACAATGTTTTCTGTTTTGCAAACACAATGTCTCATTATCACACCATCATCATCAGACAATTTTAGTTGATTCTTTTGAACTTTTCCAATTTGATTTTCGTTCAAACTTTTATCAATTTAGATGAACAAATCTTCAACTTTAATCCATTAGATAACTGTACTCAATCCCCCACACACAAACGAATTTTCCATAGAGTTTTGTGGATTGCTTGAAATTGAATCGTACTCAAAGACACACAGAATAACACGTTATACATTGTCCAATCGGAACAAATTCAAATTTAACGGAATTTTCGTAAATTGGAATTTGTGAAGTTTCTTCAATTAATCCATTTGTCGTATTGAATGTTAGCCAAAGAAATCCTTTTTGTTATGCATATTTTCACTGCGATGATCATTGTTTTTCTAATTCCATTAAATCCATGAACCACTTGGAATCAAAAACATGGATCGAGAGACAAGTCGGCAGAGTCTTTGATGAAAAAGACGCAGCGCACCACCGAAAAAACCCTTCAGCAGAGTTGGAGTATCAAACGTTGACTAAACGAATTTGATTTTTTGGTTGACTACCTTAGCCGAAAAAAAAGTGTTTGGTGCACATCATAGAGCACCACGCTGGCAAACATTAAGACGTGCTTCGCATTTTCGGCAGCGTGTTATGGAATGTGCTCAAATGCCTGGAATAATACAATTGTGGAAAATATATCATGCCGAAAATAGTGAGTGAGTGAGTGAGTGAGTGAAACGACAACGGAAAGACGGAAAAACGATACGCAAGTGAATGAAAACAAACCGAAAGCAGAGCACAGTCTCGATTGCTAGAGAAATGCGTTGTGATACGTCGCGAGGGGACAAAACGAGACCAAACACAAGTAAACACAAGTTTTTGACACGCGTTGAGTAAATTGTTGCCGTACTTACGGAGCATGTGGATAGCGGTAGCGGTAGAGCTGTGTGGTAATAGCTGCACATATTTTCATGTAACGCTCTAACACGCTGGCTACAGCCAACAAAAAGAACAGATAACACGAAAAGCGAATAAAAAAAGAGCACACACACGCATTGGCAGAGCGCGAGGGGAGAGAAAATTCGTTTGTTTTGCACACTTTGTTTGGCTGTGATTCTGATTCGTTGAATGCCTTTTGTTTTGATTCTTGTTCGCCACACATACCCTCCCGCCTGGAGATGCGCTCTCGTATGCAAAGGGGAATCCAATGGAGATTATCACACGAGTGAAGCAAGTGCTCGTTTCTCTATTTTAACGCGTTAACTTTTAACGAACATAGGGAATAAGTCGCACTTGCTCTTTTTTTTTGCAAAAAAAAACATCTGATGATCTGTTTGAATACGATGCTTAATTATATTTTATATTTTTCATTATTTGTGGTCAGCACACAGTACATATGCACAGTGACATGTGTACTGAATTTGAGCAGTTCAAAAATGTCCCATCTGTTTAAATAGACGCGTATCGCTTTGTTTGAATAGTTGTTCAGCTGTTTCACACAAAAAAAAGAGTAGCAACACAAATTGCCTTTCAAATACCCGTTCTTTTTGACGATTCAAATGTGGGAATATAGTTCACTGTGTCAGAACTTAAAAGCCAAATACAAAGTTGCCACTTTTACCATCCACGACTGATTTTCATGTTATCACAATTTGTGTCAGCAATCATTTTCACTTGATTTATATGCTCTACGGCGATAGACGGAGGGAGAAAGAGATAGAATTTAAGAAATAAAAAAACAGACTCATACAAACCAATTTACAAAACGAAAATGTTTGTAATTTTTTATTGTTGAAAAACAAATGAGACTATTTAAATAAAATTTTGAATCTTTAGTACTTATTATCACATCGATGGAATTCTTTTTACAATTGAATAAAATTTGCGTAAAACAATTTCATAGTGAATTCAGTTGGGTGTATTATTGAAATAAAAAATCGACATTTTATTTTTGGAAGAATTGTTCATGTTCTTTGAATTACGATCGTGAAGTAAGAAAAAGAGAGTAGAAACATTAAATTACGGCCTTAAAGTAGATATCCAAATCCTTCAATTCGTTTTCGTTAGGTGAGACTTTGAACGGCTCTAATTTTTGGTCTCCACTTTGGCGTTTGCGTTTATTTGATTCAAATTCGATTCTGGTATTTTTGGCTGTTGTTGGTATTGTACGTTAGCTTGATTCTGCGCTAAATTAGCCGAATTTTGTGCGGCCGCAACAGGAATTGCATTCAAGTTCTGATTACCAGCTTGTTGGAACTGTTGTTGGTTACCAGTTTGACCAGCGGGTTTTACATTAATATTGGGATTATTGATGTTTTGATTGCCAATATTCGATGGAGGCTGGTATTGTGCGTTGCCTTGTTGATACTGTGTGTTAATTTGATTTGCATTCATTTGACCAGGTTGCACTTGTCCTCGATTAATTTGTCCTGGATGCATTTGCCCCTGATTTACTTGTCCAATGGGCTGTTGGATTTGAGCATTTGGATAGGCCTGATTGGGATACACTTGTCCCTGATTGATTTGACCTGGATGCACTTGATTAGGATGCATTTGAACTTGTTGAGGATAGTTTCCTTGATATTGATACTGTTGCTGTTGTTGATTAGGGTAATAACCCTGTGGCATATTTGCATGGGGTGGCAGCTAGTGAAACACACGAGCATATTAACAGTGACGAAAAACATTTTGGTGTCATTTTCATTGTATGATTTTATTTTTTAAATAGAATTGTGTTCATTTTTGTCGCTAACACTTACCGCTCCTTGGGCAATCAATCGTTGAATTTCTTCTTGCCGATGTCGTTCAAATTCCAAATACTCTTCGTGTGTGAATTGCGGCTGATTATCGACTGTATCCCAGTTTGGATCACGATTAAATTCTTCACGCTTGGTTTGTGCGATGAATTCGTCTAAACTAATCAAATTATCATGGTTTGTGTCAGCTTCACGGAACACATGTTCTCGCATCCGTTCCATTTCCTCAACACGTTCGCGCATATCATCTTCGGGAAGGCCAGATTGATACACTTTATCCAATTCCTTTACGAACAATGCTTTCACTTCAGTCTCATCCCAGAAATCATTGCCATCAAGATCTACAAATTTAATTTCGATGATGGAATTACTTCGAATATTAGTGATCCATGAATATGATCAATTTACCGTGCATCATAAAGAATGTTTTTGGATCAAAATCGGCTGCCTCCATGTGATCCTGCTTCTCCCAAACTGCAAAACAGAAAACATGATTCAATAATGAATATTGCAATTATTTTATCATCATCATCTTCTACTACACCTTCTTCGAGTTGAGCTTTATTTCCTGGATGATGAATACGCTCGTGTTTGTTGTGTTTTTGGGTTTGACGCTTCAATTCTTCTTCGTACTGTTTTTTGTGTTCTTCATCCATTGCACGCAGTTTTTCTTGCTTTTCAAACTCCTTTTGCATCTCATATTCCTGAAAAAACGAATAGATTTAAATTCGGATAAAATAAAACACACCAATTGGTGAATAATTGATGAAATTACCTTGAAATCTTCACGTCGTTTTCTATCAGCCTCAGCCAAATCTTCGGATGTTTTGTGAATCAATTTTTTCTTTAAATTCCAAGAGAAAAATTGAAAATTAATCGAAAATGGTCAAAATGTTCAATTTTCAAATCACAAACCAAATCTTCAATTTCAAAAGTGTGGGGATTTTCGTGATCTACATGCCTGTGATCGGCAATCTTCAAATGTTCACGGTCTATGTCATTGGTGAGTTCATACTATTGAATTTTAAAGAAGATATATTAGACATGGATTGTATATGGATAAAGGTAAGGAAAAAGGTGTATTTTACAATATAATAACGATGTAATATATCGTTTGCAACTTACATGCTTAATGGCAGCCAGTCGAAGTCTTTCAATCTCGCGTCTTTTGATTTCGTCCAATTTCGACCGGACATGATGATTGACGTGCTCCAATTCGTTAGCTATTTTACCAGACTAGAGTCAAGAACAAGGGATAGTTAATGACTATTATTAAATTGTGGGCCTTCTAAAACCTAATGCATTGATTGTATTGATACATACGCGAATATCGACATCGGTGGCATTGTCTAGTTTTTTCCTAAATTCGGGGTCAGTTTCCAATGCATTTACTACTTCTTTCAAGTACCGTTCATACTCGAGAGCATCCTGGAAAACCAACGAATTTATCAATGAAAATTGTCATAGTTGCTATATGTGATGAAATTATTGAGAGATTTATGATTCATTATCATGAGAAGAAAAAATTCGCTGGAAAATTCCATATGGAATCGAATATTTCTCTTATCATTATTAGTTCACTTTGGATGAAACCCGAAACAAGAAAAAAAAAATCACCGCTCATATTCATAAGTAATTAGTTAGCTTACCTCTTGTACGCTTGGTTCAGGGTGTTCTTCGACTTGTTGTTCTTCTTTTTTTTTGCTCACTGCTCGGCCAACGACAATATTAACTAGCAAAGCTAAAGCTAGAAACCAAACGAATTGCTTCATTTTCATTAGCCAATGTGAACTGGTGCACTTGTGAATATGTTAAAATATTATTTATTGTCTATTTTATTCCAGAAACCGAAATATTTGCAGTCTGAGCAACTTTGATGTGATTTCGTCAATGATTTTTCTAAACTAAAACACACGTAGTCGCATCTGACGCTGACGTATCAAATGTATTGTTATTGACCATTTATAATAGTCTTGTAGAAGGTATATTACTATGATAAAAACTGACTTTAATATGATTCGTTCAAAAGCCACCAGATGTCGTTATGTGTAAGTAAACCATTGCTTTGACATTTCGGTCAGTCTTTTTGAGTTGAGTTGCGAGTGCTGCTGGCCCTAGTTAAAATATACTAAATAAATCGTGGGTTAAGAATAACAAAATAATAAAAGAATGCCATTACCGCCGGCACTGTTGAAACGTTTAGCAAAACGTGGCTTAGTGGATAAGAGTGTAAAACGAATACCAAGCGAAAAAGCCGTACAAAATGCACCAGCTGAGGAAATTATCGCCGAAGACTATGATGATGTTGATGAAGCTCAACCATTCGAGTACGACTACGATTTTCAATCGCATTCCAAGAAGTCACAACACAACTTTTGGAGCGAGCGATTGAAGAAGCGAATAGTTGACGGCAGTATTAACGGCTATAAAGGCTGTCCAAACAAATACAATATTCACCATAGATGCTCGCTATTCTGTGTAAATACATTTGGTGATGGTATCAAAGAACCGCCAAAGAGCTATGCAAAACGAAAGGCTCGATTGCTGCGAAGGTATCCATTACCCAAAGATTGGAAGGAAATCTATGACGAAGGAGTGTGAGTTAAAGAAATTTAGCATTTTGCCTCAAGAATATAGTTTAAATTGTCTTGTTTTTATTGTGTGCAGGGGAATTCATTACTATTGGAATCCAGTTGATGACACTGTATCATGGTTGCCGCCATCTCACCCGAGATCAGTCCAAACAAAAAGTGCAGCAGTGTTGCGTAGAGAATTAGAGGCTTCTCTGCCCGACCAAGACGAAAATGAAGAGAGCAATGTTCAACAAACAATGGATGGAGTTGAAGCGGGCTATACGAGTGATAGTAATCAATCAAATGCTGTACGTGAACAACCAAAGCCGACACCGATAAAGAAGCCGAAAGCACGCGATCTGGATAAAGTGTTGCGATCGAAAAGTGAAAGACGTATGAAAAAAGATGCAGCTGAAACAGCACTGGATCCAATGGACCCAGCTGCATACTCCAACATACCCAGAGGAAAATGGTCGGCTGGACTTGAGTGTGAAAATACAAAGACTGGTGCAGATTCTACAGTTAGCGGTGCATTATTTCAGATGCGACCGTATCCAAACCCTGGAGCAGTTCTAAGAGCAAACGCACAAAAAGGCCAGGATGACAGTGACGAAAGCGAGCACCAGGACGATTAGAACACATAAATCAAGCAAATTAAATACAAAAATAATCCGAATCTGAAGATTGATGAAGTAATTTAAAAGAAAAATAAAAAGCTGAACATGTTTCGAATAAAACCAATAAAGTAAAATCGTTTTTCTTATTTTTTTTCTTATTTGTTTTGTTACATTTTGGCAAGGATGTTTTGTTTGAAAATTGAACTAATTGTTAATTAGTATACAACAAAATATCTGGCGTCAATTGGTCGCATTTACACATCTTTGCGGTAGGTGTTACTGACTTTTAACATAAGAATTCAAAACTATTGTGGCTTGGTACATTGGTTCATCATTTGAAATTGTGACCACACAAAGCAAGTGAGTACTGCAATCGTTGCGACGAATAACTTGTCGAACACGAGAATAGTTCATACAAGCCACTGGATCGACGTACTTTCAAATTGTCTGGCGGGATATTTAAGCTACGAAATTTGTCTTATAGAAAGGCAAATTTAAAATGAAAGTGGTTAAATTTTGTAAGTACTAATAACAAATTTCTGTATTTTTTACAATTGAACGAATCAGATGGAATAGAAGTTAGAAAAGAGAATGGAGAATGGAAATTTTTTGATTTTTTCAATCAACTCTTTTCCGCGATAGTAATTGATGGAATTGATTTTGTGATTCAACGTGACCCACCATGAGGAGTGCAAAACACAAATATCCTTCCTATGTAAGTTTTCCTACAAAATCCCATCGACAGAATACATATGGGTGCTGAAGATGTCAATAAAAGCCATCAATTTAAGCAAGCGAGAAAAATTCTGCATGGTTTGATGTTGATCGCACATGAGGACCAATTAATGGTCACATTTTTGTTATCTGGTATTCACAATGAATATCCATCGATGCGTTATGTGTTGATGTCAAGATTTGACGCAGAATAATTTGCTCATTACATAAAAATAGCCACTTTTCGTTCACACCCTCAGTATTCACTGACTAAAAATTTAACATAGACTCTTTTTTGTTATATTGCTTACAAAGCTGTTCTGTATCTATCGAAAAATGACGCCAATATATAAAGCATATATTTTAATTGAATTGTAAAAATAAGTGGGACAAGAAAACTTTTTATTATCTTAAAAAAAAAAACAATTGATGTAGATGTAGATCGTTAGAAATATTTCGTTTTGGGCGGAAATATAACTCACACAACAAGATGTTGTCAATTGTTTGCATCATGTGCTCTAATGATCTTATTTCATTTTCTCAATACAATTACGGAGAGAACTCAATTTGATAAAGCGTGTTATAAACTTAAAATTCCTGAGCTTAAAATATTTTGCTATTGATTTATTTGCATTTCGTTCAGAGCTATTCCATCTGCTTCGATTCGGTTGTGTAGTTTATTTACTGCATGTCAAAAACTGCATTTGCCACATATCAACTTTTAAAAAATTCCATTCATATTATCATTTACATATATATAAAATAAATATTACGTTCATCATCATGTTCTTCTTTTTTCTTCAACGGGAATGTGATAAAAGAAGGCATTCATTTTATGTCGATCCATTAATAAGTGTAACAGCTATCAAATTTTAAACGTTTGCGTTTTTTCCTAATTTTTTTTTCCTTCACTTTTCATATGAATAAAAATAAGCGCAAAATAGATGAATTTCCATATCCCATTTACTGTCAAAAAAATATTTACGATTATTTCTGAATTCAAAGACAATTGAAAAAAAAAGAACTACTCGCTGATTTTTTTTAACATTTAAATATTGCGCAAACCGACTGTGATGTTGGTTCTCATTTCCTTGCCTATTCTACTACGATTTAATATTGCGGGGGCAAGAGAAAAGATTTAAGGAAATGACAGGATGTGTTGTGTTTTGCATCGATTTTAAATCGATTTTCATGAACAATATTTCTGTTGATAAAGTTAAGCCTGCGAAAGAATGGAAACGATGTTATTTTTCAAATTTTTATGGTTAATTTTTTTTAAGCAAAAAATTAAGATATTTACCGATCAATATTTCCGCATAATTTCCATGAATAATTCAATCAACGCCCGCAAATCCTTGACTGCCTTCAATCGCTTGCACTAGCTTATCTTTTAATTGTGAGTAATTCTCATATGGCGGCAAATCTAAACGGTTGAAGCTGGGGAAAAAAAGGAACCATTATTGTTGACCATTCTGTTTTGGACGCTATCAGTTCATGTGCACGAAATATATTAGAATATTTACCATGTATGTGCTCGCGGATAAGATTCCGGTGTGCCCCACTTTTCAATGGTAAACATTTGAGGTCCATTGCTACCATATAATTCTCTGAAACCGTTCATCGGCACACGTGATGTTCCACACGTGAATTGTAACAAACGGGCACGCATCTCATTCGAAAATGATAATACAGCACGCCAAAACCATTGTATTACAATATGATTTGCGTAGTAGTCACCTTTATATAATGTGTTTTTCTTCCAGTCTTTAACATCAATATTTTGAATACCACACATTAACAATTCCAATTCGTTTTCGTCGAAAATCTTCAGTAAAGCCAACGGGCATATTGAACCAAAACCGTCTAAAAAGCTGCTCATTTGCGATAAAACACGGGATACAAAGCGCCATTCAATGACCAATCTGCAATGGGATAATCGTAGTTTGTATGAATGAGAGTGCAATGGAAAGCGGCATTTTCTTTGTGATCAACACTCACCTTATGTATTCGTCTTTATTGTCATTTGTGACTTCAATGTTACCACCGTTAGGCTTGAGTTCACGTTGGCTGGTGTGGCCGAAAGTCTCCTCATCCACACAGAATGTGAGCATCAATTCACTTGGATCGTTTTCTTTGATCCACAGCAACGAATTGTAATATTCCATATCAACGGATTCCATGTCTCTTAAATCTATCGGTTTTTGTAACATCATTTTATAAAAAGGTCTAATGAAAAACGCATCTAATAATTTTCCATGATAAACAGCCATTCCAGCAATTTTTCCAATGAACCTGCAGAAATAAATCAAATGTATATTAGCGGTCTGTTGTGACCTCTGTTTAGCACTTGATGCGCACAATTGTGTTACTCACTTGAAATAATTTAAATGCTCCTCGTTGCACAGTCCGCTGAATGGATTGATTTGAAGCGTATAATTGTCCATAGCTGAATACTCAAACAGTCCGTAATATGGATTGAACATTTCCTTTGACAAAAGAAAAAACCATTCACGGGCCAAGCCACCGTAGTCGAGTCCAGCTTCTCCTTCGAATTCAATCCACAATTTTGTTTTCAAAATATCGGTTTTGTTCACGGTATTTATAATTCGATAGGAATCTTCGAAAATTGACGCTCGACGCACTTTCACTTCGAATTTATTAGGCACATTCGTCTGTTTAGAGAAAAATTTGAATTATTTTTCGGCTCCATCACATTCGGACGGTTATAGTATTTTGTTGATACAAATTAAATTAAAACAGGAGAAAAAACTCACTGGTTTCCTTAGCTGACTCTTAAAATACTCATATTTTTGTTTATAATCTCTAGAATAAGGTACTGCTTGGCCGGCTATATTTGGATTCGATAATCTTGGATCTTCCCATTGCGTTGTTCTTGTATCTGAATTTTAAATACACAATGTTAGGTACTGAACAAAATTCATGATCCAATAGATTGAAAGCAGTAAACTCACTGTGATCAATAAAGAAGATTCGACCATCTACATGAACACGTTCTTCCCAGCCTTCGGGCAATGGACCCAAGTCATCTTCGGGAGGTCGTGTTTGACTTGGCATTGGACTTGCACGACCAGTGCGTGGATCAATCCAAGAGGTTTTCTTTTCGTTGTGATCAATAAAGAACATGCGACCATTTGGCGCGATTTGCATTGTCCAGCCACTGGGAAGCCCTGCCTCTAAATTGTTTGTGGTGTGTGAGCTATCGCTTGTCGATGTTTCATCACTTGAGCTCTGCCTTGATTGACCTGTTGCGGTATTTGGACGAGCCGCTGTATTCGATGAGCCACTGTCTGCCGTGTCTGTATCCTCATGCTGTATAACGAATAAAAACACATAGGCATATTATCACTTTGAATTCAACATTCCGTTACAATAAAAACAAATGTCGTTCGATACTACACACAAAAAGCCCAAATCTTCGGAAAAAAGTTAATTTCGCAAAGACATCAACAGTGTACTAAATAGTTTATACAATAAGCGCGTGTTCACAGTAAGAAAAAAAATTGCTCTGTTATTAGATTGTGTTTAGCCAAGCGATTCAAATAGGCAATTATCAAAGCTAGCAATTATTATCGAAGTTTTACCAAAGGATGCTCAGAAGCAACGTCTTGGTGTGGTTCATCATCGAGAGATGCGTCATCACTACAGACACTTAGTGATGAATGATTTGAGTCGTTGTCATCAAATTGGTCATGCTAGTATTAGAGGTTAATTTGTGTGCAATTTTATCGAGACGTGTCAAAATTTAAATCAGCCCAAGAAATCGATATAAACCACAAAATGGGTTTTCGTGAACGGTTTTCAGAAACATGCATTATAATGATAGATGAAAGAATTCGAAGAAGTCAAGTGAATAAAAGAGAAAAAACATCATGCTATGCCATAAACAAAAAAAAAATGTTTATCTACCTGGTGCTCACGATCTTCTGACGCATCAACACTAATGTGGAAACGTCGTTCAAATTCCATAGCAGCAGCATCAATATCACTACCAGACACTGTGGTTGTGTGCCTACACGTAAAATATTCAAAATAAATGCATTGATCGTGTTAAAAAAAAATATCTATTAATTGATTGACAGCTGTTATCAAGTACCTTGAAGGCCGTTCCCATTGCGTTGTTCGGGCAATGTGGTTCACATAATATGTCCTACCTGCAATCAGCGATATTGATGAAACGTAAAAAAGAAATGTGTTTGAATTAAATTTACAGTTCAATGGTTTTTATTCAGAGAAAACCGTACCGTTTGCATCTTGACGTTCTTCCCAGCCGGTTGGTAGCGGATCAGCGGCGGACGATGTCCCATAAGCATCCTAAGAAGGAAAACATTGATTGAACATAGCTCACACATTTGATAAATAATATAAATAGTCGGTAAACTAACCTGGGTATGAGCAACTGTCTCAACATCGGGCTCCGTTTCTCCTTCATTTACTAATTCCCAATCTGGTTCGTTGTTAGTTGATGATGAGGTATCCGAAGCATCCAAATCACGAATAAATGCATGATATACTTCAAGCGTTCCCCTTACTCTGGACCGAGCGCTATAAAAATGACCAAAACAAAATATATCTATAAAATGAAGTCGATATTCAAAATTCGTGTCAACAATTGAGCCAAATAAATGAAAAAAAAAAGATAAACAAATTTATGAACATAAATCAGAGCACAACGCGCGTCGAATTCATTATTAATAAATGAGTTGAGTGCATAAATTTATCAGATATGTCGCGTTTCGATATTTGATGGTGGAGTTAATTGATGGTGGCTCTACCGTGAGATACGGTACAAAATTAGAAAATACCACCTCGATTTTGTACTGTGAATGCGTTCAAATAACGTAATGCATACGATAAATCTGATAAACGTATGGGATGTTATGCTTTGATATAAATAATATGATTGAAGATTTTTTAAAACAAACAGAAAAACAATAAATAAAAAAACAAACATACCCAACTGACCTTCTTGGTCGCAGAGGATAGCTTTTTGGTGCAATTGCACGATTTTCTTGTTCTTTGGGCAAATTCGCCAATGGTATTTCAACCATTCCGAGGAAATCATCACGCGTTAATCGATTCTCATCAAATACCTGTAACACAAGCTTGTGTTCGTTTGCTTTCACTTTGAAGACGAACTCCTCATTCCAAACAGGATTCAGCGTCTGTGTGAGTGAATTGTATATCAATTTTAATGTAATAATGATTAAATACCCATTTCATTTCAGAGATTCGTGTTTTTATTTACCTTTTTCTTGGTCTTTGTTAAAACTGAGTCGATGTTTATATCGCCATTAATAGTATTCAAATCTATTCGTACGTAAGGATCACTGTGTTGTTTGGATTCGTCATTAATCCGCATCGAAGCACAGCATAGAAGAGTCGAGAAAAACCAAGAAAGAAACAACAGCAAAGTCGCTAAAATATGTATTTTTTGCAGGTGACAAGAATTGCGCATATATTCCACTGGATTATATCATGTATAATTGAAACGCAAAAGGCACGTTGAATGGAATACAGACAAACAACTGGATATGTGCTTTTGCTCGTAATTCTTTGTTTATCGCATATATTTACCTTGCACCGAATATATCTTTCTTTGCTAGTGATTGTCCAGATATAATCTTGATTCGAAGTTGGCTCGTGCCCTCTTCACTCTGTGAATGAAAATGGAAAGCGTATAATTTTTATAACATGTGTTGAAAAAGATAGAAGAATATTTTTAATTTATTGTATTTTGTTGTTTTTCCGTTTTGAACGATTGGGCGAACAGTCATTGCAAAGCACACATATAAAACGTATATTTCTCCCTTACTCCCCTAGAGACTGATAGTGTGAGAAATGATGAAATGCCATCACGCCAAGTAGTTGAGAAAAAAATATCATGCGAAATGCTGCTTCTAACATAAATCAACACATTATCCAACATGAAATGAATATTTTAGCTTCCATTTCGCCGACTCTAGGCAAATTTATTGTCGATCTGCTTTTATGGATGGTTAATTGAAATCAGGGGTGTCATGAAACTGGTTTACAGTTTTTATTATTGTGGTGATCAAATCGCATGTGACCAAAGCATTCGATACCAAAACTAATAATTTGTAGTTAATTTTCAAGTAACAAGCAACGACCTTGTGCAAACAAAGTTGGGTTGTTGTGTTGTCACTTCCGATGTTTTTCTTCTGGCATGCATGTACGCACACACACACACACACACAAACAAACACAATTCAACGCAAGCAAACACACACATTGATCGTGTCAACGATTTCCAGCCTTCTCGCCTTTAGTTGACACAAAATCGGTATCTTTGAATTCTTAATTTGACTTTATTTGTTCGTTTGTTTGATAGTCCGTGTAATCGGTACTCATTATTTTGCTTCTGTTGGTGCTGTTTTGTTTATGACTATTGCTCACTTGCAGTGTGTTATAATTCACATTTCACTTTGGTTCACTCGCCCGCTCTTTCTCTTTCTCTTTCTCTCTCTCTCTCTCTCTCATCATGAATAAATGATCGGATATGTGCGTGGTGCAGAGCATGATACACGAGCGGCCAAATAACGTAATGCACTTCAATTTAGCATGACCCGAAGATCCAATTGTCGATTTTCTCTAAGTCGCCTTGCAAATTCTCTATCCATGTCGGCCACCAAACATATTAATCTACTTTGGCTTCTTTTAATAACTCTCCATTGTTGCTAAATTGAATCAATATGGCACGGGTCGATGTGTGCAAATATTCTAATATCAACATATAACTTCACACCAATCCCAAAATTTCGTTCCATTTTTCCATTAATTTTTCTTTATTTTAGTTTCGAGTATCGTTATCATTTCCTTGATTGAATGAATTTTATCTACACAATGTTTTTTTCGTTCTTGTAACATTTTCCCCATCATCTTGTTTTTTTTCTTCTTCTTGTTCGTATGTTTGTGATTAAGCATGTATGTGTGTGTACGTGAGTGTGTGTCCATTTGTCACAGTTGATTCATCATTTTCGAAGAATTTTCTATGTGTCGCAAAAGGATAATAATTAAAAGTTGTATGACTCACATAAGGTTCAATTGAACCTGGCAAAAAGCCGTAGATTGTTTCATCACCGTCACCACCATCCAAAGACATTTTGATTGAGTCGGTGCTTCGAAATGCCTTACTGCTTCTAGTTTTTCGATATAGTTTTTATCACTGCACTGATTCTTTTATTGTTTTAGGCAATTCTTCAAAGGAACAATTTGCGTCAATCAATTGTTTTTGGAAAGCATCAGCTTGCAATTTTGACGAAAAAAGTCCCTCTTTCCAAAAGAATATTTTTATCTCGACTTCTTCGCGGAATTTTTTGCTTTATTTCCAAATGTTGCTGTGATTGCCAACGTTAGTTGTGAAAAGGAAAAAAAAACAACCGTAATTACAAACAAATTCACGGTGAAAAATAATCAAACACGACAAACCAAACGATGGATAGAAACTTGAAATGAACTGACAATTTCTTCAACACACAAAGAAACGAAGTTCATGTATTGTTTTCATCAATTTGTTATTTATTTGTGAACCAATCCATAAGTTCGAAGAAAAAAAAACACAAATCGATACACAAAATATAAAAAAGTAAAACGATTTCTTTAAAACCGAACTAAATCACACGCACACGAAATGCAATGTTTGAATTTATACTTCAATAATAAAAAAAAACAGATTTAGTAGTATTACATATTTTTTCTTTTTTCTTCGACTTTCTGATCATCTCAACGATTGACGTGTGACATTCATTGGCTTTTTGGTTGGTTCGAAACGCAGTGTATCGCACACACAAGCGGCGTTAAATGATTTTTTTTCTTCAGCTGTAGGGTAACCACACACATTCTTTTACATACATCTGTGCGTTTCTGGTGAGCCGACCACTGGAGAGAAACGCCAGTCGTAAGCAATACACACACAAGAAAAGCGTGATTCATATCTTCAAGAGGAAGAGAGAGAGAGAGAGAGAGAAAGAGAGAGAGAGAGAGAGACGAAGATGGAAACAGTAATCGTAATGAATGAATGACTTAAACAATTGTTGGGCGTTCAATGCATACACATAGACGCGCATTTTGCGTCGTGGGTATATTGTGTAGTGTTTTCAATGTAGCTACGAATCTTTTCATATTGAAATACATATATGTTTGTGAATAAGCAACAAACGTTGCGTTTCATTACAGAGCTGTCTGAGGAATTGCGAACCGATAGATGAAGTGTTTATACCGTAAACACTCTTCAGTTAATTTGTTCTAGTTTGAATCCGTGGAAAAGGCATTCGTTCATCCATATCATTTAAGACCAAACACGAATTGGAAATTCATTTCAAATAGTTAGTTTGTTTGGCTTTTATTTCGTATCGCACCTCGATCACTTTCTTTCCATCGTTTTTGTCATTTCATTGTTTTGTTCATTAAACAATTAATTGACGAACACAGAGAGCTCTACGAATTTTGAATGCTATAATTGGGATCTCATGATTTAGTTCTATTTAATACTATTTACAATTATGATTATTTCGTTGTCATCACAGTCACAAAGCGCCAACAAAATTCACATCACTGATTCCCAATGAAAAAATGCAATGATTTTTGTGAAACTCAAAAAAATGAAAATTTCCAGAGACCCCGTATTCTCTATTCTAAGAGGAGAAATGAATTATTTGTTGAATTCAATGATCCGAAATGATGAAATAGCTAATTAGTTTTGTGTTTGATTTGATTGTACTATTTTGGCTTTGGATTGAGTTGAATTGAAAATGAATGAGTATGAAACGTTCGTATAAATAGTAGAACAAATTTAATTTTGAATATGCTGGACTGAGTAACGCAGATATGACAAGGAGAATTTTTCGTTTTTGGCGGTTTCTTTTCATCCAGATAAAAATGAAATCGGCATGGTGATTATAATTTGTTAAGTATCTATCATAACAAAAAGTTTAAGGAATGTTCCTTCTACAGAGATCGATTCATCACCATGGATTTGGGCTTTAGAAGGTTGAGATGGAGAAAGAGAGAATTGTGATGGATGGACAACTGAATCGTGCTGTGATAGCCATGTGCCAATAATCGTACCGACAATTGTTGACCGCATTTACCAAGAGAATCTACCAAATGAATTTAGGAAAAAGTCTGTTTTTGAAATTTTGAAAAATGTTTCGATATTGCCGTTTTTTGACTGCAATTTAAATTGCTAATTCGAAACTTTGGGAACGATTTTTGATTTTGATTTTCGATTTTCCTTTTGACTTTGTTTCTTTTTAATTTGAAACAGTACCAAGTATTATTTGTTTAGAACTATTCGAAATATTTGAAATTTTTGGAAGGTATATTTTGATTAATGTCGGCTTGTTCTTGGGTAGACAATAAAAGCATATATATATCATGGAACAAAAATCACAGTAGAAACATTAATTAAAAAAGTTTTTTTTGAGAACATATCAATGACATGAATTATGAATATTTCACGGTTGATTTCGGATTTCGAGTACTCCGATAATATTCCAAAAAATATAAATCGAAGCTAATGTCATATTGAATTTACAACAAAAAAATGTTTAATATATCTAAGGAGAATTGAGAAGATATCTTGATCTGAATCATCGTTACAATATTTCAATTCAAGGGTGAGATATCTTTATTGTTCGGTAAATTTTGAGCTAAGATAAACACTGTTTGTGATTTAAAAACTCTGTATCATCTTTAAATTTTGATACGTGCACTCAATTGCATGAGCATGCCAGTTTCATGTGAGCGAACTTATTCATGGTCTTTTTCAACACTAACACACTGTACACGTACATTGCGCGATCTTGAATCGTCCATATAACGTCTAATCAGATTATTGCTGATTTTGGCGACACAAAAAGATATCATTCATCTTAGCAATTCTAGCTGTTCACCGTTAAGATTTCCGTACGATGTTTCGTTCTCGTTCTTTCAGAGAGGCAAAATGAAATTGAGAAAAAAAGATTTCATCATTTTTCTCCCCTTATTTGAAGCAGAAAAACCATTATCCGATTTTGAAAAGCGCAACAGATTAGAATTTTGCACACATTTCTCGTGAAATTCATCGGCAATAATCAGATATGCAACTTTTGATATAATGTTCAACACTTATGTAAACATGCAATTTGGGAGTGGAAGCGCGTGTTGGAAATCTCACTTCGACCGAACTTTGATCAGGGCTGTGTCGTTTGCTCTAACTTTCGTTCATTATCATGGCTTTTTATTCAGTTTAACCAGGTACACTATACCGAATTGAAATCGGATGAGAAGAAAACAAAACGCATACCACAGTTGTATTGAATAGTGATCGCCTGGTTGGTCGCATGTTTGTTGAAGCCACGGTGGGTACATGTTGTAAAGAATTGGCACGTCGCCTTGGAGGTGGTTGAGGTCTTGCCGTTTCCCATGTTGGTCGAGCCGCTGATGTGTAACCAAACGGGTTATTGGTGTTATCCATATGAGGCCTCATAATATTTATTTTTTTTGCACTTTTCGCGGCACAAACAATTGGCTTTATTCGTTCTTGAAATACTTAATAATGATTTGGGTCGGCTAGTAAAAACATTTATTATGGAATTATTTGGAATGTCGTTACACTTTATAAACAATGAAGAAAAAAAACAACATCAAAAGTACACGGTACCCCAACGGCGGCTACTTTTTTTTAATAACTGTTTATGGTCCCATAATCATTAAACGTTTGCATGCCAAACGATTGAGTCACACACAAAATTCCTTACGGACGATTCTTATCCGATGTATTGTAACAAATCCACCGAAAACGTAGATAATTGACCGTATCTTGGAATCTATTCCAATTCGATGACTATTTCCAAACTATTTAAATTCAATTTAAAAAAAAACTAGCTTCAACCAGATGACAAAAACAGAAACAATGATAAACAAATACGATCGGTGCTCATCTTATTACTACTTTTGGCAGATTTTCATTCATTTGGCGATAAATTCAGTGATACTTTTTCTTTCTTTTCTACGGAAACTGACTACATGATTATCTTCGTTTGATAACCAAAAATTGTATGGCCTGTGAGGAATGTTTAACACTTTCAATTGAAATTAAAAACTGATTTTGCAATTGTGATTACATGGGCTCTGGCTGTCTCACATCTAACAAAAAGAATAACGAGCAATAGCGCAGCACACTCCCAACATTTGTGTGTATGGTGTACACAGAAATCCAAAGACACTGTGAGTTCCTTATCTGTCAAACGTGATGTGTGTATATTTCTTCTCGTGCGGCTAGTGAAACGAAGGCAAGCGTCAAACGCAATTCGTTCAACGCACCGCAGTCAAATGATGCGTTACTGAAGAAACTCAAGTGAAACTTTCATTGTTTACGGTATAAGAAATTGGTATCTTTATTTTCACAGGCAAAATGTTGGAGGTTTTGTTTCTGTTTCGGTTTTGGTTTTGATTCATTTCTATGGATATGGTAATACAAAATTAAGAGTCAGAGAGAAATAAAAAAAATTGCCTATTGATTGAAATCAATGGTGGTCAAAATAGAAATTTTATAAGAATTTTGCGTCGATGTTGTCCTTCTGCTTGTACTGGAACCATATTATTCTTTTACCGTTAGTGGCACACCGTATGACGTGCGCCGATGTTCTGATGTGCTCAAGGTGACGATATTTCATTATCACTTTTTGCCGCCTCATTCTCGTTCACCAGATGCAATGGAATCACGAACTTATGACCAAATGGGCTTTTGTAATTGATCCCAGCATCACGATAGAACTTTTCCGGAATGGAGAGATTGGACAAGTACAATTTGCCACAAGCGGCCGATATATTTTCTAGTGGTAGTATTGGAAGAATGGAGCACTTAATCGTCAAGAGTGGAATACCGGTAACTGGGGGATCAATGGCCATTATCGGTGATCTAAAATCATTTCAATGATCAATTCTTACATTTGGATATTCGGAACAATATTTCATGTTGATTTTATTAGTACATACCTGCTTTCGTTAATCCATTTCAGAACATTCTTATCAACAATTGGCTTTGGAAGCGATACAATAATGAGATCACACGATGGCATTTCTGTAAATGAACAAATGTGCCATGAATTATCTACTGCAAAAGAGAATGAATCAAGAAAGTGCTTACCGTCAACGGACATCGTTATCGCATTGCCGGTCGCCTTGAACAGTTCAGCCTCACGATTGCTGCGGAGCGCATAGCTCAGATTTGGTTTCACTAAAATATGTACTTGTAGCCCCTGTGAAGCCAATTGGCGACCCGTAGCAAATCCCACTTCACTACATCGTTCGTTGCACATTTCATCACAAATTATCGCAATTTTCGGCCACTGATGCTGGTTCTTCAGCGACAGTCGACGCGCACCACCCAACATTTGCAAGCACAGTTCCACGCAGCTTCTTGACAGCATATCGCATTGTCTTTCCCAGTCCAAGCCAAACACTTCGGCTTGCAAACAAATTCGCGATCGAATTTCTGACGAAATCGTCGGAATAATAAACCCGTCGTCAGTTACATATTCTTGAGCACAGCGATCTTTCAACGTAATCTGGCGATAGCCAGTTGGTTTTGCAGTTAAAATATTCTCGTCGTGTCTATAGTTTTTCACTTTTTTATTAACGTGGCCAGTTTGTCGGACCTGAAATTCAATAAACAAATGTGTTCTATTCAATTCTTCCATTCGTTGATTGAATTCTATGCGCTATAATCAAACTTACCAAGTCCGGCTTTTGATTTGCATCAATCTTATCCCAAATAGCTTGCTTGTCGAACAAAGCCAAATTTTTCTCGAAATCAAAGTCCTCATCCATAACCGGATCGTCAACAGGCGTGCTGAACGTAATATTTTTGTCATAGCGGTTACGATTCGTTTTCTTTTTGTCCATTTTGTTGAATGCCAACTGCTGTGCTACCGTCGGTGCACTTGGTTTATGAAAAGCGCCATTATTTGTCGATGACGCTATATCAATTGGTTGACTTGCATTGCGTTGCAATATAACTGGGATTTGTGCCAATTTATGGTTGGCGTTGTTGCTATAATTATTAGTCTTATTGGCATTGCCACTGCCACTGTTATTCACTGTTTGTGCACTTGAATTCGAATGTGCCATGTTCACTTCGACTTTTGCTGGAATGAAATTTCCAAATGGATTTTTGATGCTGATTGGTGATTTTGCCTTAAAATTGGCCTTTTGATTGGTCGGAGGCGATCTATTCGAGCAATAGAAATTAAATTAAAATAATATTTACATTTAACACTGAGCGTGACGACATATGAAAAAAAAAAGAAGATGAAAAACGGTAACAAAATGTATAATATGCGTATATGCGTACTTGGTTGCCACTGGTTTTGCCTCCTTGCTAGCGATATTGATTTTGTTGAATATTTGCTCATCAATTTGTAACGCATTATTTTGCGACCCGTTATTTACGTTGGCTGCATTATGTGACGGTATCAGACTTATCTTAACTATATCCTTAGCCCTGGAAATAGATGGGATATGCATAAATGGATAGTCAAATGATTTTGTACTGATGAATTTTAAAGTATTGATAAAGACGCTGACTTACATTATTGTGACCTCCGCGTCTGGCGTTTTCAACGGAAGACCATTACGAAATGCTCTCGATATCACAATTTTCGATGCATTTGCGTCTTTGATTGTGCCCTGGAAAATGCCAAAGTCATCGATGCATTTGATTGAAACAGACTTTCCAATCCAATTTTCACTCATATTTATCTGGTGTTCGTTTTCGTCAAGTTCACGTCACAATTTTTCAAAAATAACTGGACAAATTTCATTCAATCACCACTGACAATCTTTCCTTTTTGCCAAGATGCGCTTTTGAATTACGCCAAATTGTGAAAGTATCAAAACTTGTTTGTTGTGCTCCCAAACAAAAATATGCTTTGGTTCTTCTTTTCAATAAAAGAAAATATAACCAAACAGGATCAGTTGTTTGTGCTACTTTCCATGAAACAATTCGGTAATATACTCTTATCATAAATTGAACATAGGACAAAAATTGAATACAAAACTTTTTGCTTATACAAGAAAATAATGAACTGATTCAGTATTTAGAATGTTTATTGCGAGTAAAACAACAAAAAATCGCTGAAACATAATACAATATGGCTGAAGTTGGCTCTGACAGTTTTGATATTAAGGCCAATAATTGAACTGAAGTTGGTTCGTTTTAACGAATGACTTCGTCTATGTGGCGGCGAATTCGAATCATTTTTCAAACTAACAGTTTCGATGATCATTCGAAAATCAAAACGATATAACGAAAATAGAATAAATAAAAAAAACACGGGTTTTAATCACATATGTGTGATGGATAGACACATAAATTTTTGTTTAATTTTTAATTGAGGTATATTTTTAGACACAAATTTACAATAAGAGATAATATGAATTGATAAATTTATAATCTTTATCCATTCGTTTCATTCCATTTCATTTCAATCATCGATGTAGGTGTATATGAAGAAAAATAAGGAGCTGGCAGTCTTAAATAATCAAGTGTGGATATTAAAGCGTTCGTTCCAAGATTTGTAAAAAAAAAATATTTTCGATTTCATTTTTGCGGAAAAATTCTAACGCCTCCTCCTCAATGAAACGGTGTCACTCATTGATGCTTTTTGAATTCTGGCCCTCTGTGACACATGAAAATTTATCCGAATTTCTTTTTGTAAAAACGCCAATAGAATAAGATACAATACGGAAAAAATTCCATTTCACATTAATACAACGTGCTTTCCTGCCACTTCAAGAGAAACATTCCTTTGTATGGTTTTTAACAAATAAAAAAAGGTATTCAATAAAACAAAGTAACAACATTTCATACTCAGTTTGATTTGATTTGTGTTCGATGTTTTTCATTTCTTTCTTTTTTTCCCTTCATTTTTAACACTATTTAAAAGTTCTGGATTTCAGTCAACAGTTTCCATATAAAATGACATTCCTCCATATTTACATAAACATGCCAATTTAACAAATCAAAGTTATCGTCTCTCTCTGACTTCGTCAGCAGTATTGATTTTAATTTATTTGATTTAATTTCACTTAATAAAATAAAAAATAGAATGTTCTTCTTGATTGATTAAAAATATGGTGTAAATGTGTGTGTGTTTGTTTTTTCTTTCTTTCTTTCTTTTGAAATACTTTACATAAATTTTTCTCTCTCTAAAATCCAATAAAATGTAGCAATTTAATAATATAATACAATAAATTGTCTCTTTTTTCATAGGTCTCTCTCTGCCATTACAAATACATGCATTCGGCAATCATATTTTTGTTTTTGTATCTCAATCGACATAACTTCGATAGATATTTTCTTTCGTTCCATGATGTAAATTAATATAACAACTTTTTTTTTCTCAATAAAATGCTAAAAAAAAAAACTAAGATCTAAACATTTTTCTTTTTTTCATGTTAAAAATATTACCACAGCTAAAATAATTCGTCTATGTTTTTGTTTGAAAACGGCCCGTAAACCCAAATAAACTATGCCATTGGTTCAGGGCATTTTTAATTGAATCGGCTAAAAGTTGGGCGCTCTCAAATTGTTCACCAAATGCGAATGTGAAGTTTCTGTTTATACCGTTGACTCAGGTGTTATAGTTGGCTTCTCTTTCGAGTATTCATCTGTTTTTGGTTTTGACTCCGGATCGATATCAATTCGATTAGCTATGTTGAATAAAGATTGTACACATTTTATTAAAAATTTACACATGTACGCTATCAAAATATGAAATAACACACCTTTGTGCCATACGACTACATCCATTATAAATGCCAAGAACATTATTCCAGATGTAGTACCTGCAACAATAAAAAGAATACTCGGTCATAATTCCACATTCAGTTTAAACGCATTTCAAACCGTTTACCTAAAAAGAAATGGCGGAAAGCATCGGGATCGTATAATGAACACGCACCCTGCTTATCACAAATAGTTTCCCAAATTAAACATGTCGAATCGATAACAGCACCATAAATAATCGGACACGGAACATTGCCAAACAAACTGATAGCAAATTGAATGATGCCCATTGCCATTGCCTTATCTGCAAAGAACAGCAAACATTTAAACCAAATCGAATGAAGAAAGTGTTTGACATTTTTGGAAAGAGAAACCTTCCGTAGGTTGACTATATTAATTGAAAAAATACAAACCTTTTGGATCGGTACATCGCATAATCAATAACATACTGCCAACTTCCGAGGTCGAGTGGATAAACACCAAAAACGAGAACAGTATTATGAAATAGAAGAAATTCTGGCAGTTCCCATCGCAAAAACCACTGATGGCTTCCACTTTATCTAGTGCGCTTTCAGCTGCAAATATTTTAATACAGAGAGAATATTATCAGAAAATGGAATGCTTGTAGTACAATTGTTTCAGCTTACTATTTTCAATGCAGTCACAATTGAAGAACTGTGTTTTGCCATTTTCGTTGTTCGAATTACGACAACCCGCATAACATGATGAATAATACGTTAACCCATCTGAACCGCAGATCGGTGAAAACTTATTCCTATCACATTCACAATTTTGGTTGCACGTTAAATCGTAGGAAACGGTTGTAAAATTTCTGAAAATAGTTAAAACGTCATCATGCATTAGCAACTAACTACAAAAACAGTTGATCGGAAGACGGAGTAAATACGCACAAGTCAGTGTATTGATCGGTCTTGACATTATTTAATCCAACAAAATTGTCCAGAGAGCATCCAATGAACATAAGAACAGCCATGCCTGAGCAAAAAGAAAGGGTTTCGATTGATTTCATCCGATTGGCCGAATCTCACTTAGTTGAATATACTCACCAAGCGAATACATCAATGCGGTGAATGCAATCCAAGCCGCCACTGACCTTGCAGTTGGGCTAAATTTCAGTAAAACAAATCCAGATACAACAATACCGATTCCCATTACTAAAATGCCACCCAAGCCAGTGATCAAATTTGCGTCGTGAGCGGGTAAATGAAATTGAGATTCTAAGTATTTTGGTAAAAATGTATAAAGCCCAGCGATTGGAAGTAAGTGCAACACTGAAGAAGCAGTACGAAACATGAGGATATCGTTTTTCAAGTGTCGTTTAATCGTCTTTGGGAAATCTATGGAATTTTGAAAAAAAAAAATACAATTAAATTTAAAAACGTATGTCAAAAAACAGATAGAGGTTAACCTTTTAACTGGGGTTTTGACTCTTCTTCTGGCTGCTCCAATTTCGGTACAGTTTTATGTGCGTCAATTGATTCGACTTGGTGTGGTGCAGGGATCCGGTTACCCCTCAATTGCTTCGGAAATGCGAGCATTGCCAACGATGTGATGATCATTAATGACGAAATCATGACCAAACCTGCAATAGAAAACCATTTTAAACAGTTGGAACAATACAAAAATTGCTTCAAAAACAATCTCTCTAGTGTATCGTTTCAATTGACCGTACACACAATCGAATTAAGTGTAATTTAAGTCATAAAACGCAACGTAATGTAAATAGATTACGCAATCGATATATAAGAAGAATCTGATGTCGATAAAAACTACGCTACAGACATATAAATGGTCATTACAGTCGAATGAGCAAGGGGATAATATGCGAACCAAATTATTGTGTTTTGGTAAAAAAAAATCGACTGAAACAATAATTTGATTCATATGTGATGGCGGTTAAAGAAACAAAGACCCGCGGCAGTGCGGTTTCGCACAGGTAATACCAAATGTGGATGCATATAACGTAAATGAATACAGCATCACACGGTAGTGAATGCATTCACCGAAAATGGATGGAACCGATCGAGAAATTTTTTTTCTCTTCTGTTTACGCGCCAAACACCAATAGCAATGAACACTTGTGCTGTATTGAGTACTTTGTCGCGTTTTGCTGGCAACAACAGCAATGCTGTTAATACAGCCTTTGATGTCAGGTAATATGACTAATATTGGTCGACATTCCGAAAGGACATTGCCCTTAATTTATAATTGATGGTTTTGATGGTCGAAATGATGCATTCGTATAATCATGGTAGGTTGACTGGTTCCAACGTACCGTTATCCATTTATAGGATCGCAATTCGTTTGATTTGTGTATGTGTGTGTGTGTTTTTTTTTCTCTGAATGTTCTTCCTTTAAACGATTGAACGCATTGATTTACTTACCAAGATACCAGGCACCGACCCATTTTGGATCAGACGGCCCAAAACCGGGATCACTGAGATCAACATAAAGTCTGGTACAGAATGATCCCAATATAAAACCAGCCGCAGGACCCAAAATTCGAACACCGATGGTTATGGCTGGATAAAGTGTTTATTAAGATTATTTGATTTTTATTTAAATAATCAGTATGTAATAAATTATTTTTAGTGCGCGCGTGTTACCTATGTAAACAGCTGATTCTTTGCTTGCCACATTGTCATCGATGTATGGAATGCCGAGTGTTGACACAGCGGTTTGTCCGATGCCGACAAACAACAACGACATGAAAAAAATGCCTAAAATAACATTTCGAATTTGCGAATGTGCTTCCTGCTCCAGCAATGTTTTTTCCTCGCAAACTGAAATAAAAGGGGATTTTAAAGTATTCAATGATTTATTGTTGATGACCGTATGTCAGTGATGACGGCGGTGGTTGAGATGATGCGGAACTACTTACCATTACTATCGGTGTGGTTCGAGTTATGATTGTGGCATAGATTCGAGTGTGATGATGATAGGATGTATGCATCATCAGCGGAAGAGTTTAGTGTTGAAATTGAGGTAGATATGGCAGTTGGTGCGTTGTTTGTATGACCACCGTAGAATGCATTGGTTGAATGTAACAGATCATTTCCATAAATAAAGTGTGGCAGTGTACAGCCGAATGTTGCCAACGCAAAAACGATCATTCCTGTTTTTGATCGTTGAAAACAGCGTAGAAAATAGTGGATAGATAAAGAAATTTAAGGTAATTGTTTGTTTGTTTGTTCAGTTTGTCCGAAATTTTTGCGCGTTCGCGATAATTGAATTATTTACTCTGCTAATCAAGAGAATAAATATCGAACAGAAAACGAAATGCGAATCATTGAAATGCGCGTGTGTTTTCTTTCCAACGATACCTAAATATATGCAAAAAACGACATCTTACCGCACGCAATCCAACGAGGGCGATGTCCTCGACCTGCAAAATACGTCAGAAACAGCGACGTGCAGATCTGTCCAAATTCAGTAGCACTCATTAGCAGACCAGTTGTTTTTGATTTGATTTGAAACAATTTCTCAATAGTTGTGATGACACTAACGAAATATGTAAAATACATTCCCTATGTGTGTGAGAAAAAGAGAGAGAGAGAGAAAGACAGAGTGAGAAAAATGAAAATTTCTACTTTTGATTGATATTTTGGCCGCTTGTGTGTGCAAATTACCTGTAGAATCCATGCGAGCAAAAATACCACCATAAATACATGAGTGGATGCAAACATTCGCGCCCATCTTGGTTTGCAGATTCCAATGCCACAATCAGAGCGCTCGCAGTAGTCGTCATTCGAATAATCGTTGAGCGAATGTCGTACAACACCTGTTAACGATTCGTGTTCACTTTTGCCATTCAAACCATTTCCATTCGATAAGACATTGGCTGTATTCAGATTTGGTTTGTACAGTCCCATTGAATCGTCATCCTGAGGAAGTTCTCTCCAGACGTATTTCGAATTGGATAGGTTATTTGGCGAGGTTAGCACCGGCCATTTGTTGTTATTGGTAGCTGGGATATCGTTGGCATGATGATGGTTTAGAAGTGGCAGCCATGTGTGCGAATCGCCGCTGCTCTGTTTCAACATGGCATTACTGTTGATATATCCACTGTTCCCAATGGAACTCATAACACCATTCTTTGGAGATGTATGCTTAGCGCTTGACCAATGCTCATCTTTATTTAGTCCATCACTTTTGTTAGTCTGTTGCTCACCCTGCAGATGATCATCTTCGGGACTCATTTTGAATCAATTATACTGACTTTTGATGCGATACAACGGATCCAGCGATTAAATACTTTTGATACTCGGCTTAACTGTGCAAAATCACACTGATTTCCTGACGAAGCAGCCCAACAATCTGAAATGGCAAACCAAACGAAGGGATTATTGATTGTTATTATATCGGTGGCGATCGGATATAACAAAACTCTTTAACATCTTTCTACATCAATCAATTCGGCCGATTGGCGCGGATTGAATTAATTTGGAATAAATCCATGCATTTAGTTTGATGGCAGAGTTTCTTCGGACCCATTATGCAAACATTACTCATCAATTTGATTATCTTATTTTGTTGCTTTATTTTCTTCGCTTCCATTTACCGTGTCAAGCATTGCCATGCCGCTGTGCGCCATGCCATATGCATTCTTTACCTCACATTTTCGCAGCAAATGCCTTATTTGAGAATTCCGATTTCATTGCATATGTATGGACCAATAATTTAAATTCTTTAAAATTTAGTTTTTGTTTGCACAATCGAAAATGTTTTATTTATTGTTGGTAAAATAATAAATAATCTTCGAACCATGCCACGGCTGACAGAACGGGAGAACAATAAGAGAGTGAAAAACAGAGGGAGAAAATCAAAAAAAAAAATACTTCAAAAGGAATTGAAAATCAAATTACATGGCATTAATGTATCTTCTTTTTCTGTCTTTGCTGTGTGGTGCGAAGTCAAACGCAACGTCACCACTACACATGGAATATCAAAGAAAAAAGTGGTTGTATAACGATTTGATGCCTTCTTGGTAGAAAAGGTTAATAATTTCTTTTGCGTCACACCGGAAAATACGAAAAAAAAGAGATAACGGTAGAGATCAACAATACCGACGATGATGCAGAAAAATACCCAAAAACAACAACACATCGAATATAAATGCCGCGTCATATGTATAAAAGATGCCTCAGAGATGTAATAATTTCGAGATAAACTTTAATTGGTGACACAAACAATGTCGTCTTTCTCTATGTCCATCAAGTATTTGTCATGAACGATGGCGACGCAAAATAGCCGATCCATCATCGATGGTCAGATAAAAATGTTCGGAATAACGCGATTTTCTCATGTTTATCATGAGCATTTAGGTGCAATCAATTTTATGCCATCATTTAGTTGAAAAATCAAGTCTTGAGGTGCACTCTAACAGAAGAAAGAAAAGTTTTCGGCTTTTGCGTACAAACTGTCCTGATTGCATCAAATCGGTTTTACAAATGCATTTACTTTTTCAGTCTGATTAATCAGTAAGTTTGTTGCCTTTAGCAGCGTTTTCTTCCGAGCTCCCGACCAAATTTCAGTTTAAAAAGTAACAACAACAACATTCGTTTGCTTTTTTCGGCTATAATTTATTCGACCGAACGCATCGGGCGGCAAATATATTATCGCTGCTATGATGACCATGTGAGCTGTAATTGAGTATGCGTTTGTTTGTCAATCTTTGACCGTTTCGCATTATCTTTTGCGATGATTCTTTATTTGCCCTCCAATTTTTCCAGTTTTCGGAAACACACACGAAATACAGTGTACACAACGCATTTGTATGTTTTTTATTTGATTTTTCTGTCGAATTTTGTTTCTCTTTTAAATTTTACAGCATAGATAAAAAAAAAACCAAATAAATATAACCGTTTGTGGTTGGCTGAAGTGACTCCAAATCGCGGTGTTCGGAGAAAGTTTGCGGTTTGGAACCCGTCAATTTGGTCATCAATATTTGTCAAAAAAGATTTTTTCTATGAGGCGATCCGATGAATTCATCATTCTAAGATCTATAGAATCGCCTACGTATCCAGAAATATGCCATTTTCAGTCATATTTTTATATTATAGTCTATCTGTTTTTGGTATATCAATAGAATCTATTTTTTTCGATTGAATTTCAGTGTGAAAATCATCGCTTGATGCCAAGAATACGCAGAAAAAAATTCAACTAAAATGTACCAAACATCGCATAGTATAAACTGCTGGACCAATTAATTAAAAACTGAAGAATAGGATTGAAATAAATTTGTGCCAAAAAATAAATTATTTTGATATGAATCAAAATAAAAAAAAAACATTTTCACGTAATAAAAGTGAATCACCCGAGCTCAAAAATCAGTTTATTGGAATAGGTTTGCTTGCTTTTAAGTTATTCAAATATGCATAAAAATTCCGTTCATTTTAACCGAAATAAAAATCGCGATGGGTGTAAAATTTATTGTCATTCCAATTAGCGTTTGGACTCTCTGAATTCGTGTCTCTGTATGTGTGTGTGTGTCAGTCAGTTGGCTTTTGATTTAGTGTATAAGCTTATGCATTGGAATCTTTTTGATATGGTGCACTTCACAGCCAGCAACTGATTTACGTAACGTGAAGAGGTTGGAATGTGAGAACGTTGTCGACATTGTCTCATTGGAACAGCCATGAATTTGGATGAAGTAAGTGAATGAATTACATAATTAAAATTATTTAACAGGAAAATTACGGTGCATCTTGCGCCCATTGTGTTGACGCTTTGCTTACTATAAAACTTGATTAGAATAATAAATTCGTTGAAATCAATTCTCTAATTTCTAATACAGTAAATGCCAATGATATATAGTAAAATTAAAAGGAACGCATAGCGTTGATACATCAACCACTCGATGAATATTAATGTGCGAACTTTTGCTAGTCTCTGTGTGTAAACGCGTTGCACAATTGCATGTAAATATTTTATTGCTGTTCGGGTGCAGCGTAATACCAAGTAGCAATTTGCAGCAAAGAATATTTTAAATATATTAATCAAAAAGGATTCACTCAGGCTTTGCATTTATTTAAAAAGTTAATATGCAAGACTCGAATAGAAATGCCACAAAAAAGAAACTTAACAGATGCATTTAGAAGAAGAAGAAAACATAGTGGTAATAAATTGATTTGTTCAGCGAACAAAAACGCGCACGCGTTGCCAAAGGAGGCATTACTCAGCCGACACATAATTGGCATAATTTGGTTACTCCGCGTAGTTAACGATGAACTGGCAAAAGTCTTCTAAATTGATTTTCATCAATTTGACTCCATTCACCTAAACGAAACGCACGCTGGTCTCAACTATGATACGTTATTATTTTGAACTTCAAAAAGAAGCCGGACAAAAAAAAATTCTCATGTTTGTCACACATGCATTGAAATGTGATCTTTCTTCGACCGACCCCAAGAACGAAGAGAGCTCTCGAGTTAAATTGTGCAAGACGCACGTTTATCCATTCAAATTCATTGATTTATTTACATGATTGCTTTCAACTAACATCTCGGGATCATTCTCTTAATTGTGCAGACGGACGAACAGTCCGCCAGACAGATGAAATTTTTTTGGATGACACAAACAACGGAGATAACACAAAAACACATCAGATGATTGAGCAAATGAATTACAATTGAGAAAATGAGAAGAAAAGTTTGGAATATATATATAAATGTATCACAAAAAAAATGAACACTACAGCATGACTTTTATTTGAACGCGTTTGCATCCACAATAACATTACTAACATTTTGACTGATTTAATCAAACTAATTTGTAGGGAATATGGAAATGTGGAAGAAAGTATTGCTCAAAATGAAATTGGACAAACACGACAACAACATAAAGAACGCATCGAACAAACGAAATCAGGCATAACAGAGCGAAGCAATTAAAAATTAAGCAAAAAAATGAAGACTCGAACAAAAAGGAAAAAAAAAAGCGTTCGTAGTGTACTCGAGAACCGAAGCACGTGGTTAATATTCCACGCGACAAATACTAAAAGTAAAAACTGCGCACACACAACAATACTTTATTTCAATGTTAAGGTCATTTCATTTATTGAACTTGTATCGAATCTGCATACGAGTCTGAATGAGACAGTGTGTGAGAATGTGTGTATGTATTTGTGGATATCGTTCGTATGGCGATGATAAAATTTAAAGTAAAAAAGAAACGAACTGAAAGAAGTCGAGAATACTTTTGACAATGAACATACATATACAGACTCCAATAGTTGGAAGAGGGCAATGTCGTAAGTTCGCAAAAAACCGTCTCTCTCTCTCTCTCTCTCAAATTGAACAAATCAAAATAATGGCCACAAACAAAAAACCAAACAACGTGCCAAATCCCATTGGAGTCGGATATTTTTAGATAACAAAACTACTGCTGTAAAATCAGAGAATAACACTCGACTCTATTTACTCATTGCCAATACCGTTTAGTGTTCATGTTGCATTCGTGCAAAATGTCCACAATGTTATTTAACATTATTTAATAACAATCATAATGTAATTCGATTGAAATTGGCGTATGTTGTGAAATGGTTCGAAAAAAACCGAACAAATGTCGAGAACAAAAAACAGAAAATTTTGAATACGGCATTTAATTGTGATCAAGGTTTTTCAGACAACGGTTTTAACACAATTCCGTGACAGCTTCGATTAATCGTCTTCAATGCGAAAAGGTCGAACGATAGTAAAAACTTTCAATAATTCAACAAAAATATTATGCATCTTCTGAAATCTATTTTTGGTCGTCCCATATTTGATTACCAAAAAATGTGTCCGACGTAATGCTGTTTGATTTTAAATGTTGTCTGGTCACTCATAATAAATAAGAAATGAAGGCATATGGATGCAAATTGCCGGCGCTTAGTAAAGAATATCAGAAATTTACACTCGGTTCGATAATAATGAACTGCCTTATCAAATTGAGCTACGAAAAAAATGATTTTTTTTTTGTGCGGTTAACATCGCACAATGTTGTCATAATTGAAATGTTTATTCATTAAAAAGTGTTTATTTTTCAGTGAACTTGTTGCAAATATAATGTTAATTGTGGTGTGAGCTTCTGTTTACCCGTGTCGGATTCGAAAAAGAGAAAAAGAAAACAGCGTAGTGCATTGAACATCGTTCAACTCATCGGTTAGAGTCCATTTTTCATGTGATATTTCAAAACAATTCATAAAAGTCATTTTATAAATAGGAACCAAGATGAATGCAACATATCCGAACGCAGATCCCTGTCAGTACTTTCGAGAAAAAAAAAACGTAAAAAAATGTAAACTCGATCGTGAACGCAGTACGGTGTATTTGTCATCAATTTTTGCAATACACTTATATTTCAAAGAACGAATTTTTTCTTTGCAAGGCAATTGTCAAGTTCAAATAGGTGTCGAAAGCAAATAAAGTTGTAAAAACGGTTATCAGTTTTCGTGCAGTTGCAACAAACATGACAATCGACTCGGCGCGGTGCATTGTGCTTGTTCAGCTCATCGTGCTACAATCTTTGGCACGTTACGTTCACTGAATGAACAGAGTATCATGCAGACATAATCAACACTTTTTATTTGGTTTTCATGTTTGGTTTGGTTTACAAGTTGAAATGAAATAACATTCTTGTAAACATTTATGATGATATTGCCTATGCACACAATATTTCTCGTACGTGTTTGTGTGTGTATGAATCAATCGGAAGTTCAAAAATACATATGGGCTCAATGCGACCAGCTGGTCTGTTAAAGTTCATGGGAACTGTAGAGAAAAAACAATTATTATTTGGATCTTTGGGACCAGACATAGATGCCATTTGATGGCTTATTTGGATTGTATCAATGGCGTAGCTACCGATAATATATGTTGGCATATCGAAAATCGCCATGCATATATCTTCCGTGTGATTAGATAGCTTTATTATTGCACTTCTCAAATAAATAAATATCGGTTGAAAAGCATTCCATTTTTGCTCAATTCGATTATCTTATCCGTGCAAAATTATGGAAAATAAGAGCAAATGATTGAGCATTCATTCATCTTATGTATCCATAGCGACAGTTCATTTTGATTTATTAGCTGAAGTTACATAAACACCATCATTACAAATTGAATTAATGAGGCAATGCAACCAGCATTTGTCTGGCATCAATTTTGAACTTAATTGATATGAATCGAGAATTGATTCGGGCCGAATTTTTTCTCTCTCTCTCTCTCTCTAAAATTGTTAGCTTGTTGTGTCTATGATATTTATCGTTTTCATCAATGTATTATATAAAGTTGAATCAATTCGAATCATAGAGCCATATTTCGTTTCCATTTACTAAATTTCTTTGGATTACCTACAAGCGCCAAACAGGTGTTGCCTATTCAAATGAATTTATATAAATAGCATCGCATAAAAATGTCATTTGTCTGGTTGTTACATGCAAGCAAAAACAAATTGAATAGATTGCGTTACATTGATGTTAAATCAAATTTATTTTCAACGTTGTGTGAAGAAGACAGAGCTCTCATTTTGTATATTGCTATATCTGGAACTATTAGTAGCTGCTGTTTATAGTCAATAGCTGTGTATATTTTGAAATAGCAGCTACCGAACACTTTGTTCGGAATTATTTCGAACGTTCCATTGGATTTTTAGAAGTGGAACGATAACGTTCAATTCAAAAATGTATGTGGATCGATAATTTAATGTTATCAATCCATTTCCAAAAATCCAATGGAACGTTCAGAATAATTCCGACCAAAGTGTTTGGTAGCTGCTATTTCAAAATATACACAGCTATTGACTATAAACAGCAGCTACTAATAGTTCCAGATATAGCGATATACAAAATGAGAGGCTGGAAGAAGAAGAAGAAGAAAACGCAACAAATTTGGTACATAAAAATTGCATGCGAAGATGAGAACGAGTTCTCAGTATATCAAAAATGAAAATTGAAATATTTATTTGTCATTCTGAAAATTGCATACAATTATTCTAAATACATAAACTTATTTCATTCATGTCACTCGTTCATACTGGTTTGTGTGCATCAATTCGTTTCATGCGCAACACAAATGACTAGAATCACGTTGGCACACAACGTTGAAAACGAAATCTCCGAGAGCCATTCACTTTCAATTTTACATGACCGCAATTAGATTCATTGGTATTTTCGTCAAATGTATTTGTCGACCACTTGCAATTCAATGAAAACTAAAAATGCATGCAATTGGATGACACAGTAAAGTGTTTGCTACTAATAATATATAATATGGCATTGTATTTGTCGTTGCGTTCATTATTAAATGAGCTATCTCGAACATGTTATTATTGCTGGGTTTTTTTACGCACCACCCGCGTATTTGTGATGATGAGTTACAGACATCAAAGTAAAAATATATGATGCAACCGAAAACGAACACGCAAAGATATTCACTTAATCTAATCAATTGAAAACAAACACTGTCTCATATTTTGTCGTTCGTCTAACACAGTTTTTGTCTCATCTCCTCTGTCACGTATACCCATCGCACGAATATAAATTAAAGAATTCCAATTCACTCAACATATACAGTGTGACCGAATTACAACGATTTTTGCCCTCTTGTTGCTTGCATGTGCACTGCGCAGTGTCGATATTCGTGCATTTCTATTTGTTGTCCTAGAATCTGCTCAATTGCAATGCAAACGAAATGTACAGTGCCAATAGAAATCAATAGATCAATTAACTATAGCTCCACTTTTTTCTGTTATTTTGGAATGGATTGCATCGACCGACCTAAATTTTAATGCTTCAGTATCGACTTTGGTTGAGTTGAAGGGCGGTCAAATGGACATTTCGATGATGTTGTGTGTATTCCACTATGAATGAGAAGAGAACGACGAAAAAAAAATCTGTGTACCGCGTCGTGCACATTCCGCAAAAGGAATGAAAAGGAAAGAAGCTTCAGCACCGAATGTTGCGAACATATTTTCGAATTTCGGAAACCGGTTTCAGTCGCTTCACTTTTTTTTCGGCTGCTGCTGCACGCGCATATTGTTTTCGCAATAGTGTTTGTTGTTCGTCAAAATATTTACAATATTCTTTATCAGGGTAATAATTTATCCGTACAGGCCCGGTAATTGGACTGCAAATTACTATTGAGAGTGGGTAATTAATGTGCATTGGGAGCATGGAGAGACCATTTTAGAGAACATCAAGGCGTGTGAAACAGTCAGCACATAGATGAGCCTGAATTGCCGTTGCGCTTATACCGTTCGCAGTAGTTGGACATTCTCACATTTAAATATCAATAAATGAAATGAAAAAAAGTATGATTTTTCTGCTGCATGAATGGAATCACACTGAAAAGTGAAACTGGTTTATCATAATTTATTATTTGCGCTGTTTCACACACACACACACACACTCAAATCTGTTGCATTTTTGCAACTTTATGTTCTCTCTTCGTAGCAATTTCTTTACAGTTTGCCAAAAACAAACGAAAAAAAAAAAATTTGGTGGTTCGTTTTAGATACACAAAAATCCAGTTCCACATATTTGAAGTTACTATATATAGGCGATAAAATGAAAGAGAAAAGATATACATATACGAATATAAAACCAGATAAGTATTGGAACATAAAGATAGAGAAATTGAAAGTGAATCAAAGGGACTGAGCTATAATCGTCGTCATCTTTATTGCGATGAAGACAAACGACCTGGCGACATCTTCATTCCTGCGGATAATATTCGAATCTCTGCCTGACATTTCTCCATTAATTATTTTGATTTTGAAGATTGTCGATTGGTGGTGAAAGATGTTCAGCAATCCAAAAGCTTCTATTGCTACCGCATGGTTCAGAAGAAACAAACAAAAAAATCAATTTGCATTTTATATTACGGGCAAATGTTACGTTCAATAAAATCGGAATGATTTCATCACTTACAATGAGACACATAACTGTCTATTCTAGTGCGATGTATTGGGTATGACTGACAAAAAAAAGTAATTCAAAGTTTATTGACTTCATTTGGTTGAGGCGATTTCTTATCGCTGTGTGTACAAAAGACTATGCTTAGAGCAAACATTTGAAATATTCAAATATTTATGGGTTTATGACAAGTTCAAAATGTCGCCAAAATGATTGCGTGCCCAAGCACATTTGCATCATGCATTCCTATTTGTAGCATACATTTTCGCCGAATCGAGACTGTGGTTCATCTGATAAACTCTGCTCTTCCGAAATTATTTTAAAAACAACACAGCAAAAAAAAAAACATGTCAAACTGTCATTCCATTCAACGCCAAAATATACGAGTATATTTTTAAAAATCGCATTCGGGCTGCCTCTCTATGTGTGCAGAGTCGGCCAACTCATTCTAGTCTAGCACCGCGACATACTTACATGCGCTAACAACAACTGTGTTCGTGGTGGATTTTGGGCATTAATGAAACACCAAGCAAATATGTTGTGTGTGTGTGTGTGTGTGTGTGTGTGTGTGTGTGTGTGTGTGTCTGATTTTTTTTTCTTCTGTCGTATTCGTTAAAATCAAAGCGACACACTCACACTCTTAACTTAATGCGATGTTCTCGTGCATAGTTTGTTGACCGATTAAATAAAGCATTCATCATCACATACGGTTGCAGTGAATGTTTTCGGGCCGAAAATAAATGAAATTGCCATTTAGATGGAAAAATGTAAGGGAAATTTCATTGGACACATGCGTAGTGTAACATTTTCATGTGTCGGTATGCACATACAAACAACAATGTGTATTTGAAGCTCAATAGAACAATCCATTCGCTCGTTCGCTCCGTTCGTCCGTCGAATGTGAGGCAATGCAGTCGGTCGCATTCGTTGTGAAACTAGTTCAATCGATTTTCAGCGGTCTTTGCTCCTTTCAAGCTAATCACTTTCATTTTCACTTCGTACAGTGGAAAATGTATTATTTCCACTCGGAAATCTGAATTACTAAGCTAAATTAAACGGTGATAGTCTGGTGTACGGCATGCGACCAGATTTTAATGAGATCATCGATAAAAGCACAAAGTTGTACTGTTTTACACGCAAATGAAAACGCAAATATTTCGGTGAATTTATTAAGCAACCAATTGCCAACCGCAGTGCTTTCAACTGAGGTGCTCGTAAAATGCATGTGACATAATTTTGTTGTTGTCATTGTGAGCGAGCAAACAAACAAGCGAAGAGTAAGCCAGATGCACCATACACGCGCATAGATACAGGCTTGTTATTTTTAATCGAGTTCAGTATTGATGGCAAATCTACAACGAAAATAAGCGTACACCTTGAGCTAATTACTTATAATTGGGCGCAGAGAATAAGAAATAGATACAGAGAAAAAGAGAAGAAAATTTTGTGCAATTTAAAGAAGAACGACTTGGAATGTTCATTGCGTACATTCAGCGAATGTTGCTTCAAGACATAGGTTTCAATCAATAATGAAGCGGCATATATTTAGACGAGTTTTCCGATAGTATAAATGGAAGTACTACAGTCCTTACGTTCGTTAGTAGGGCCTGTTGTCAATACCACAAAGTAACCGACACAGATTGCATACCAACCACAACAACTTGAACTGACTCATACTTTGAACTGAACGTTCGGTTAAAAAAAGACTTTGCTCTTATCAAATGTCCAATGTACTTGCAACGTTTATCATGTTTATTATTAATATTGATTTTGCAATCGCATTTTGAATGAAAAATGCATGCTATCGAGACGATGCACTCTCAATATCGCACTAAAATTAAGCTACGCACTCCGAAATCACGTTGTTTGCGCTTGTAAACCAACAGTCGACCGACTCGGAATCAATGGTCTTTCACAACCGCAATTATGATAACGATGATTACGATCTGAACGCATTTGATTCGGCGCCAACCGGTGAGAAAATATTGAAATTGGCTGTCATTTACGAAAATGGCATCGCATTCAAACGGGCTTACGTTACACAATGCGCAATATACTCAGCTCAGCCATATGCACTTTGGAGTTGTTTTCGCAGTGCTTAATCTCACAACGATCTGTCGACTGATTTGATGATGTGTGCGCGTGCGTGTCAATGTATAAATGATGTCAGTTTTAAAACATCTCACTTATTATTATTATTTCATCTCTTTTTTTATTTGACGCTTACAAATAAAATTAATGAATTTTATTTGTTTTGCGTGCCTGCAGTTTTCCAAGCAGCGAGGAAAACCAGTAAGAAGAATTGCTAATTTGTATGGAATTCCGACGGTATTTATTGCCCGGCTGATGATGGTTGTCATTTTTTTTTTCTCCATGAGCGTTTTAATCGTTTTGCCTTTTTGTGCATCATTACAATCGGTGATGATTTTCGTTTTTATTTTGCTTTCGGAGAATCACTTTCACTTTCAATAAAATTCACGTGAAAATAAAAACCGTAGGTGATCATGAAACGAAAATGAAAAAAGACGCACCATGGCTAACTATGACACAGGAAAAAATAACGAGTCAAGGAAAGAACAAATCTGGCCAGACACTTGCATACTAATTATGATGAAAATTGACATGACTCAGTTCGATATAATTTTCCCATCGCACCAGACTGCGTAGAATGAAATTATACCATGGGACCGCAACAGAAACAGAAATCGAAACAGAAACATAAAACATATACGCTAGACCAGCGTGATACAAACGCATACTAAATCACAAAAGCAAATGCGTAAAGAGGGAAAAAACATGAATTTCAACTTGACGTGTCGCTTTATCAATCAATAATTGAAAGTGAAAACTAAACTAGAATGAAACAAAAAAAAATTCTATGTGCTCATACTTGCATATCGATGTAGTACGATATACGGACTAATGGAACATCGAAAATTGGGTTGATGTATTCGTACGTTTTTGTGTGTTTGCATGGATTTGTGCACAATGTTTTTTTTTTGTGCTTTTCATTCAACACCATCTATTTATAGAGGCAGAACAAAATACGAATTCTTTTATAAAAATGTTTTTGTTGTTGTTTCAAGAATTTTTTGTTTTGTTTTAAATGATTTGGTTACTGTTTCTGCCACCATTTTTTTTAAAAAGTTGTTCGGGCAAATGCGAGCTGATTCAGTACACTCAATAGTATGTACGATGTTTGCTATTAAAATGTATAGACCGATTTCGACACAGCATTTATGACTCGCACGATTGTCTGCTCTCATCGCGGAGAGAGAACAACAGATTTTTCTTATTTTTTCATCATATTCGTATTTATTTTCTCGTTGTCATTCCATCTTCACGTATCGTCGCAATAAAATGTATCGATTATGGTATTGGCCTAGCAAATAAATGACGCGACAGTATTCATACAAAACCAAGACAGTCAGGGCTATTGTGGAATAACCGAGCTAGAGAGAGAGAGAGAGAGAGAGAGAGAGAGAACACCACATTCAATATAATCGTCTTCATCATTCTTAGCGTATTGACAAATAGCATATCAATTTCTTCTAATATTTCCATACCGTTGGTATTTATTCAACGTATAAAAAATGCACAGTATAAATACATAGGTGCAAGCCAAACATATGATGATAATTCGTATCACACAGCATCTGATCAAACGCATACCGTGTATATGTATGTTTGATTTCATCTGAGAACTACCACTCATCGAAAGTGCTCTTTATTTGGTCAAATTCGCAGAAGGCAAGTAAAATGACGAATTCATCAGCTCTAATTACGGAAATTTGCCCAATTTGATTATGAAACACGAATATATAAATGCGTGTTACTTTGTAAATCAAATGTACACCATACATAGTGTTTGCGATGACTTCAAGAATTCTCATTCTGTCTTTGTGTTCTTCGGTCACCGAAAAGTAGATAGAAGAATGAGAAAGGGAAACAATACTTCTAATCACTTTTTTTTCAGCTTGGCTTAGAACAGGTTGATTGCGTAAAAAAGTGTATTCCATGTGAGCAAAGTAGGAACAAAAAAGACCAAATATTTCTCATGTTTTATGGCAATTTTTTAGTTGTTGCTGCCACTAGACGTTGTCGGCGGCAACGACGAATCGATACGTATTTCATCCTATGTGTTTTATTTATTTACATCGTTCTCTCTCTCTCTCTCTCTCTCTCTCTCTCTCTTGTATTATCACTCTCTCAATCATTTCAGTGTGCGTCTCTTTCCTGCCGCCAACAACTATCGCTTTGTGCGTATGTTTTTTATTTTTGTTTCGTTATGTTATGGTTGTTTTTCCTCTCCCATTTCGATTTCAGTGTTGTGTATTTGGGTGTACGAAACTCATTCGCATGTACACAACATGTACACAAAACACACCGAACAGGAATCGGACGGTCAAAAATCAAAAGTACAAAATGAACGTTCAGTCAAAAATCAGTCATTGTTCCAACTAAAATAGCGTATGACTTGAAATAGTTTACACTCTAATAGTGTACACTCTAATTAGATTGGCTGAAAGTGAAACTTACAGGGATTTTTTTCTTCCGGAAATCCTTTGTTGCTATGAATGTTTTCTGCGCTCAAACTGAAATCGCTTGGTTTTGCTTAGGTTTAACAAAAATTATGACACAATAAACGTAACAGGTTCTTTGAATCTGATTCCATTTAAAGGAGCTTTTGACAAAAAAGATTCATCACACCACCAACAATAACACCGATTGCCTTTCTAATCGAAATTTCGGCAAGTATCCAGTTACTGTGTCTATGCACTATGTCTGTACTATGGATATATATGAAATATTTTTATCTATTTGGGTTTTCTCCCCGTCTGTATCGCAATACCGTCTGCATACACCGTCTGATATCTGTCCGGACTGATGTTCTTTTTGTTATCACAACTAAATTAAAGGTGCACATTTATTTTTAGTTTTATGAATTTATCTTCGAAGCGTGCTTAACAATAATAATTTGATATAGATATATTTATTTGAGTTTTCGTTTTGTATATTTATTTAATTGGGATAATGTTTGAAAAAAATCGGTTGTCAGCACCCGGTTTCTATATATATTTACTATAAATCGACTTGTTTGTCACAATTCACCGAAAATTATCATCAAAATTCCAAACAGACTGAAAATAATAATAAAAAAGAAACGAATATCAAAAAATTCGTTGTACAACGTTCTCACACAACTTCTCCTCGCCAATGGCAAAAAATGACTGGCAATCGGCATTTCTCGTTGTCAGTATTCAATAAACATTGAGCAGTGATGTGCGCTTGCTAGCTAGAGCGGCTGCTTGATATTGTTGTTGTTCCTGGTCCGCAGTTACTGTCGCCGCCACCGTGTTGTTTCACTGTTTAGTGTATGTTCTCCTCCATGTATTCGATTCGTGTGCTGCGTGTGTATAATAATCGCGCATATGTAGTATCCGTTGCTTACGCCGAAAAAAGATAAACACACACAAACCGTACAAATTCAAGCAGCATACCGATGTCGGGGCACATACAATTTTTCTGGAATACGTGTATATATAAATTTTATATATACATGCCGCAGACAGTGTGTATGAGACAGAGAGAGGGAGAGAAAAGTGTGTAGAATGAAATGCGCACATACGGCGATGTCGACTTGCTTTTTATTTCGTTCGGTGTTCGTCTTATTCCTTACGAAAATTCACACACAGTTTTTTTTTATTCGTCATCTTTCACGCAGACAAGCAGACTCGCCGTATACATGTGGCATGTGATTGAGTTTTCATTTATTTTTTCTTCTTTCAGTCATAAATACATGGCAAATGGTGCGATCAATGGCGTAGTTCTGCCTCAGCCGATATGCTAACAACCAAACAGAAACAGAACCTCCGAAAACATTTTTACGCAACACTGGTGCCGAAACCTATGTATTCGCTTAGTGGGAGCGAGAAAGGCGAAGCATGAATGAAAGGATAGCCATCCAACGAATACTTATATGCGTGTGCATGTAAGTAAAAGAAGGAAAAAAAAAAAACAAACAGCGACAGAAGCGGTAGCGATCAAGGCGCTGCATGGACGCACTGGCACTAAGTCCCATTGTTCTGCATATGATACATGCGGCTTACGATCACTTTTTTATACTTTTCCCAGCTCTTGCGTACAATGACAACAACCGATCGACGTAAACACAAATGAGTGCAATGGAAATAAACAATTTTATTCTTTGCGATCGTCGCAATAGTGCCGAATCCTCCGTTTGTTTGGAAATTAAATGTACGGTGCATGAATGTTTTCGAAACAGGCACAACAACAACAACAACAACAACAACAAACAGCGATTAAAACAAGAGAAGGATGAACAATCAACATTTCCCTAGAATAAAATTCGGCCGTAAAGCGGATCAGATTACATTAATTTGCTCATATTTTGGATTCAAAAATTCATATGACCGCAATCAGTGTGGATAAAACTATCACGTTTACTCTATTTCATTTTATATCGCTTTATTTTTCATTCATTTCCTTCTACGCCAAATGGACACAAATCAAAAGACCACTTTATATGTAACACATAATAATTTTACTATCAAAAGTCATATCAGTCAATGTTTGTCATGTTTGTAAATTGATGCAGCCAAACTATGTGTGCCTCGCACGCAATACTCATAAAATAAAATAATACAAGACGAGTATATATAAATTGACCAATCATTCCTAATCAGTATGGTTGCGATCGTCCAAATACACATCGGATGTGTGCAAAACTTCCGAATCATAGCTCAATTCAATGATTTGATTGTGGCAGATTTTACAGTCAGTTAAGCTGTCTCGCCTTTTTCAATCGAATGACAGATTATTTTTGGCACTTTGAATGCGCACAAAGCAAATGCATAGTATATCACTCTCGGTTTCATTTCAATTAATCAACAACAGAAAGAAAAGAAAAGAAAAGAGAATCAACGCAAGACGAAAGCGCGCTATAAAAGAAAAAAAAAACACACAAAATCGTCTTAATATAAATAAACAACACAAAGCCAGAGAATTGGACGTAATGTGCATTGATTTGGCTGCGCTGATCGTTTGATATCTGTGGCCTATGGCAGACATTGGTGGCGATGATTTGATTTTATTTTGTTTTGTTGGTGATGTTGACTTAAACTCCGACTAGACTGGTCATAAATTTCATTAATAAAAAGGTTAACTGTCATATCATTTACTAGCACATTAACAAAGGGTTCTTGAACAAAAACAAAAACAAAAACACAGAGGGAGAGAAAGAGAGTGAGAGAGACCAAAGACACACACAGCGAAGAGTCTTTTGGCGCAGCAGACTGAATCGGTAGCAGCGACATAACGATTTAGCGAGAAGCTGATGAAAGAAACACAAAAATAACAAAAGCAAATACAATTACAACGTGCACGAGCACGCAAAACGAGGACATCGCACGGGCTTACAAGTGAGAGTTTTCCAAACATATCATTGCGAATGCACGCGCTCTCTGTGACGTAAGTAGCAAATGCACTCATCTCGTAAGTCCCATAAACACACATACACATAGCGCTTAACTCGAATCAGCTCAGTTTGGCTCGGCTCGGCTCTGCTCTCCGTATTTATATTAGGAAATTACATTACTAACAGCAAAGTAAATGCGCGCGCACAAACGTTCACTTTCATTCAAATGCAACGTAAACAAAACACACAGAATCGAAAGTGCAAGTATCAATGCAGCGCGGTTCATTGCAATGCATGTACTGATATGAGTATCGGATGCAACAATTACACGCACATTTACAACGCAAATTAAAGACGCATTTTCATTTCCCTGTACCGACCGATCAGTTCGAAACAGTTGGATTTGAAAACAGACGCACTTAGGTTATATTGTCTCACCGTAATTGAGACCCATTCTGAAACTGTGTTCGAAGTCTCAAAGCAGATTTGGCGAGATTTCGATTATTTTCTGCAATGATTCGGTCAAATTTTGGTATGGTTATGGATCTTGCACTATATTTATTGGATGCAAACAATGATGTATGTATTGTGTACACGTGTAAACGAATATCTACACAGATCATTTTTTGCTGCTTAAAAACCCATCGAGATCAGCATGTTATACGAATTTGAATCAATGACAAAGTGAAGAGGGAGAAAAGATACAAAAAGAAACACATACACAATTAAAAAGGCATTCATTCGAAAAGAAGAGATGCGGAACGTCAATCAGAGGTGTTTTATTACACTTGGACGATGTGCCAAACCAAAAGTATCAATTGAATAAAAAAAAATAACGCTACGAATAAATTTAAAAATTCAAACGGCATTGTGGCATTCTTTACTAGAAATAATAAATCCAAATCTTACAGAGTGAAATAAAATAAATGCCACTATTATAAAATCAGTGGCTATCTCAGCAGACCAACGGTTGAAGATTAGGTTGAAGTTGAATTTATCAATTTTCTCAATGATGATTGAATACAACGTATTCACATCGCGAAAAAAAAAACCATATTCAGAATATTTACATGGGAACATTTAGAACAGCATTTCGTTTGGTCGACCGAGTAAATTATCAAACGATGAGATAAGTCGCTGTATGTTTGTGATCACATTCAATTAACTGAACAAAAGCGTTATTCATGAATGTCAACAAAAGAGCCGCAATATTGCCGATTGAAGGGAAAAAAACTGAAAAGAGTGTGCCTTTTCGGGGCTTTCGGTATGATTACGTGCGTTCCCATTTTCGGATTTTGTAGATAAACTGGGAACGAGGTGAATATGTAGTCACACATACGACATCATGTTTAATGCATGCAAAGATTTTGCCAAAAAAACATCACGTTCCACATGATAGTCTTAAATACGCGTACAATCGAAGCCTACAGCGACTACTAATAGACATGTGTCTTTACATTTAATTCGTATGCAGAAGAAATTCGGCATACCCATATACAAGCCATCAGCTGCTTCTGAAGAAAGTGAAACGACACTGGAAAAAAAGTCGAAAAGAAAGCCCAAATAACAACACAGGCATGACACATTCACTTTTATTTACACAAGAAAAGGCTTAATACACACACACAATAAACATAATTCAAATGAGAAGTTCAAAATTAACCCACAACAGATTTTTTTTCTTCTTCTTAAGGTACTGCTCATGATGATTGCCAACAAAAAATTTGTTAACAAGATACTTTCAAAAACGACGATAAGCATAGTCAAAGAGGTTGATAGTGAAAAAGTGCTACAGAAGAGCAGCAGCAGCAGCAGCAACAGCAGCAGAAGAAGAAGAGACCGCAATGACGGCACATTTGTACTTTGATATGTGTATTTGCGTTAAAGCCCGTTACCTTTTCGTTTGTAGTAAGATGAGAAAGGCGAAGAGAGTGAGATGATGGCAATGACAATAACGTCACATGAAAAAATAAATCGGCACACGTTCGTTTCATATAATGATGACCCCATTAAACGAGCAAACTCACAAATTTGGCATGAAAAAGACAGAAAAAACAACAAAAATTTGACACACAATGAGTTGGCAAAGTGCGAGGGGAAAAATCAGGACAGAAATTTCACGGGCAATCAATCGTTGAAATGAGTTCACAATATTGTAGAATATAATCGTAAATTGCGTTGAAGCCATGTAAATTGATGAATTGAACAAAATGAAATCTAAAAAGGAGAAAGAGAAAGAGAATATTACGCACTTTGATTAATGTGATCATCAATATTAAACATGTCCAATCAAATCTTTTCAAACGAGAGTCTCTATTCGGCTATTTTTGATGTATATGGATGTGTATGTATTTGTCTAACTGAATATGAAGAAAAATTAATAAACTCATTTTAAATAGGTCTGGTTTTCTGTAATTTAAAGTGATACAATGAGATTAAATATTAGCAATTCCCAAGCACCGACACAGAAAAACAAATCCTATGAAATGATGATTTTTTCGAAGAATTTTAATACTTTAATCAAATTGGGGATCATTTGCTTTGTAAGCCATTGGCTAAAATTTCAGCAACATTGGATTTCGTAATGAACTGTAATTTCAGCAACATTGAATTAACCTTGGCATTGGATCAAGGACTTTTCGCTTTGATATGTTCAAAACTGCTGGACAAAGTAAATATATATGTGTATGTGTGCGGGCTAGGGGCTTATGTGTCACCGCAAATCTCACAAGTCAGTTGAAAAAATACAGGCAGCAGCACAAGTCTTGCGAATCTGTGTGAAGACTCGCGATTCTCTCATGGGACGAATCAATAGACCAAACTATTCGAAATCAAATATATACAATTATGACATGTCAATTGCACGCAGTCGAATCGTACTTACTCGTAGATTTGTCAAACGATTTCTGTGCTATGATTTGTGTTTAGATTTCTAGGAGATTGTGTGAGCTTACATAGGAATTTAGCGAGTCTTTTTTGACTCGCAACGACAAATAAGCCCCTTGAGTGCGGGTGATGATCGATGTGGATCTGTTTGAGCAGTATGTTTGTATGCCAATGAGTGTGTTTCGCATGTTCATCGTTGAATGGTTGTTTTTATTGATTTAATATTTTTTCTTTGTTCTACACTTCGATTCGGAGTTCCTACCACGATCGTGTGCTTCGAAGATTTTGTTTTGGTTCAAACCAGATCGAAATTGATCACATCACACAATTTCGATCAATAGCTTTCGATAGTGTCGCAAGTTGAAAAAAGAAAACTGTCCACTCGGTTTTATTCAAATAATAATGACAAGTTTCAAAGGTCGTTTACAGTTTACATTCTGTTAGTAATTCAATAGCAAATTGTTGAGCATTTATTATGGTGAATTTACTTCATTTTGCGAATGATTTTTTAAGTATGGAAGTAATTGACCAAAACCAGAATGAAAAAGTTGGGCAACATCTGGAAGATATTTAACAGGAGAAAATATTGGATAAAAATGGACCTCACCGTGTACGCAAAAAGAAGACGATATTCGAAAAGTATATTTAGAATGGATTTGTCCAAAGAGAGAAGTATAGACAGTCGGACTGGTATCGGTCGGAGATTTGAAGATATTTTGTAGGTTGAAGAAGAATGAGAAAGAAGTGAGACGCATAAAAAACGTCTTAGCAACGAATGAATAATAAGGTCATCTTGCCAAATTTTATAGGCGATCAAGTCGAAAGTAAAAAGACACGCTTTCACTTTACACGAAGAAAAGAAAATGTAATCAGTTCTTGTTACTTGTTCTTTTTTTTTATTCATTTTCACATGTGTCTGCAGACACTTGAATGGCGGTAAAATAATGCCGAAAAAAATGAAAGTTGACATATTTAGAATTGGATGCCCCTTCAATTTGCTAAATAAAAGCGTCCAATTATAAAACGTGTGCAGTATTAATTTTCATTCGACTGTTTGCTCTTCAAATCTTTCAATCACCTTTCAAATGTGGGTTAAAAAATCCGTTCACACGACAGTTGTGGTCTCAATTCGGTATTGTTTTCTCTCTCTCTCTCTCTCTCTCTCTCTCTCTCTCTCATTTCGATGAAATAACAATGCTCATCACGTGCTAACTGAATATCATTTTTTTGGAGTTTTTATAACATGACATTTATTATCGCATTATTATGATGGTATTTGAAGTTTTGCAGAAATATAATGAATACAAAAAATGCTTAAAATAGGGGAATGTAACCGGTTGTGGGACAGTCGATTATTTTGACACTTATGTAGTATTAACACCAAATGATGTATTGTAATGTTGTTTTATATCCGTAATCAAACTTTTGGTACGACTCTTAGCTGAATATATGCATTCGTTGTATTATTTCCAGACGAAGCGTTGAAAAATGTAAAAAAAAGTTTCATAGAATTTTTTTGAGAAGTAATGTTTTCTCAATTTTTGATGAAAAAATGATCAGTAAAATATTGATATACATAGTTTAAGGACTAAATTTCATCATAAGTAAGTTGTTTTTATCAGTATATGCGCATTGAAAATTTTTTTGCATCACAAACAAAATGGTGTACGATTCCAGTTGTGGGACAGTCATGTACCCAGTTGTGGGACACCCATTTTTTTGCATTGAAAGCATGAATACGACGTTTCAGTGATGAAATATGGTCATTTGTGTTAAAATAAATATGTGTGGTCGGAATTATTGGTGTTGTTGTGACCGTCAAATCAACATTTGCATTTCCCATCATGTTAAAGGGACAAAAGACAGCTTTTCCAGTACAGGGTTATGATACGTCAGTCCAGACTGTCAAAACTTCGTATGACTGAGATAAAAAGTAATTGGAGAAACCTTAGTTGATTTTTATGTACTGAATAGCGGATTGGAGCCGATACACCGAACAATTGGGGTAGCTATTCGATGATATTACAAAAGTAAACTATGAAGAGTTACCAGAAGTAGCATTTGGTCCAGTTACACACATTTCCATCGATATTGACCAATCAAAATTCAATAAAATCCTTTTCTAGCCGTAGAAAAGTCCACTTCAAATGTGCAAAGGGATGTGATGGTGTCTACATATGCATTCACTGCGAATGAAGATAATGGCTTATTTTCGTTATTAATTTTTCATGTAACCACTATTTCATCATTGTTCGTCTATAGTAGTCTATAGAATTGAATAAACAATCATACAATCTTGATTTCTAATGATTTTACTCCAATTTTTGACATTTGAACCAAAAAAAATGGGGTGTCCCACAACCGGGTACAATTTTTTTTCTCGCAATTTTCAAGACTGTCGGAAAAATGACCATAAAATTTTTGTTGTCGATATAAATGACCAACTTTGTTTAGAGAAAAGTTAGCTATGATGATTACCTTTCGAACGGTATATGGGGTTCGAAAAAATATGTGATAGAAATTTTTTTCTGGCAAAGTTACAAAACCCGTCCCACAACCGGTTACATTCCCCTAATACAAAAGACATGGAAAGTCTTTTCCATGAAATATCTTCTGAAATCACCAATCAATTTTGCATCATGCATTGAAATGCATTTCCTCTTCAGTGTATATTCTCCTCAGCCAATTTTCTAACAACCAAACAGAAACAGAACCTCCGAAAATATTTTTACACAAGACTGGTGCCGAAAACTATATATTCGCTTAGTGGGAGCGAGAAAGGCGAAGCATGAATGAAAGGTAGCTCAATTCAATCGATACTTACATATGTGCGTGCGCATTTAATTAAAAGAAGGAAAAAGAACAAACAGCGACAGAAGCGGTAGCAATCAAGGCGCTGCATGGACGCACTGGCACTAAGTCCCATTGTTCTGCATGTGATACATGTGAGTGCAATAAAAATAAACAATTTCATTCTTTGCGATCGTCGCAATAATGCCGAATCCTCCGTTTGTTTGGAAATTAAATTTACGGTGCATAAGTGTTTTCGAAAAAGCCACAACGATTAAAACAAGAGAAGGATGAACAATCAAAATTTCCCTAGAAATAAATTCGGCCGTAAAGTGATGATAAAGATCAGATTACGTTAATCTACACATATTTTGGATTCAAAAATTCATATGAAAATATAAAACTTTCATTCTATTTCACATTATATTGCTTTATTTCTCATTCATTTTCTTCTTACTTCGAGTCGACATAAGTCAAGTTATTCGCTTGAAATTTTAGTTTATATATAAATTTACAAATGTCTTATAATAATATTTGTTGCAATGGACAATTTGTACTAATCATTATCCTTTTTTCTTTTTATTTCTTTCTTTTCATCTTTATCTCTCTAATGATTTTTTTTACATATTAATTCCCTTCGACAAAAATTTAAATTGTAATGTTTTAACCATTTAGAATTCCGGAAAATTTCAAGATTATCACAAAAACGAATGAGATGTGCAATAGCCACTGACTTGGAGATGATATTATTTTAAAATCTTTACTGAAACTAGTTTGTCTTTTTTCCGAAAATTTGAGAGAACATTTTTCTGTTTGTTTGAAATTGGAAATCGGTTTTCTTCATAGAAATTCATGGCGTTTTGATTTTCGTTTGTATTTTGGATTGTGCGAGTATTGAAATCTCAATGAAAGACAAATTTGTTTTGCTTTTTTCCCTAAAATTTGGTACAAAGTGTGTGAAATAAATTTTTTATCTATTCATTCCCTCATTATTTTCAACTCTTTTAGTCGAGATACTTTGATTTTTTTTTTGTTTTTTTTTTTGGTTTTTTTTTTTTTTTTTTTGTCGCGTTTTCTTTTCAGGTGATCGATTCTGCGAAGAAAAAGGTATAATGAATGATATAGTGGAAACTATCTATAGAGAAAATTTGGAGCGCTTCAATTCTATTGCGACTTTAATTTTTAGATTTTAAATCTAGATTTAACTTATATATTTTATGTCTATTCAACAGACATTTAATATAAAGGGTTTGTCGCTTTATATTTTTATACCTTTTTGAGTTTCCTTCCATATTCGCTGCAGATGTTGTCCGCCTACTTGCTTGTCCAAACAAACTCTCTGCATCATCTGTGCTTGCATCATAATCAAATGGGGTTGTTGTGATGTTGTTTCGAGGTGTGTTTGGGGAAGATGATACATTATCCATAGACAAACTTTTATCGGAGGTCGAGTCTGCTTCGTCCGTCGCTACTTCTGTGTTTGCATCCTCATCAACCTCTTCTTTAACTGATATCGTCATGCAGTTAGCTCGTTGTATGCCTTCCAGATATGTTTTGTATATCGACACATCTCTTAAAATGCTTAGGCAATCGAAACAAAGCAATTCTGATGACTTGACCTAAGAAATAACATAGAGAATATGAGATATTATTATTATTGTTCTGCACCATGCAGCGTTTCTTCGCCAGAGGTGGTTTATTTCGTAGCTGTCAGATTTGAATTCTAATTGATCACAGACTGAAACTTAGCCGTCAGATGTTAAAATGTTCAATACTCAAATTCATTCTGCGCCTATACTCACTGTGATTTTCAACTGGTTTTCTATGAATTGATGCATTCTTCCATGATGTTCGGTTTCGAAGCTGATATCGACCTTGGCTTCCTTCCAGAAACATATTCGGCATTTTGTGGCGATATTCACACTATAGAGGTCATCAGGATACTTCATTTGAAAAGTAAAAATCTAATATAACTTTTTGGACTGGAAGAATGAAAAACGTTGTCAAACCTACCGAATTCATAAGGTTTGTATAAGTTTCGCGTGACCGATTTGATTCCGTAATGCGGCTAACGTAGACAGGCCAATAGTTCAACTGCTCATGGCAGACGTTACAAATTGTTTCTGTGCCCGAAATCTAGAAACAAAACAAAAACGAACAAATTTTTATCCATCCGAATTTCTTTATGTGAAAATTTGCAAAAAAAAATTCCGTAAACTTACATCAATATTAAACCAGTTTTTCGATAATTCTACAAAATTGGCATTTGGTGTTTGAGTACTAGCGACATCCAAACACAAGCGACATAATTTCGATGCAGAAACATACATTTTTAATTGAAAAATTTGTAAAATAATCGAAAAAATAAAACAAAATAGAATCAACGTCGAACAAAAAATCACAGTAAAATGACGAGCTCGTTTACACCACTATTTGTTGCTTGTTGAATATCCAAAGTGACAGTTTGGAATGAAGTTGGCTGCGCCATAGATGACAGCTCAAAAATCCATTAGATATTTCGAAACAAATGGAAAACGTTAAAACGATTTGAATTGAAACCATTTCATTAGCATCATAACTTATTGCCAAAAGAAATTACCTGCATTTTTTGTATGCAGCGACCACCAAAAGACCAATCAACTTAGCATCAACTATTGAAATTTGTGGAATTGATTAGCTGCGTATTAAATCAGACGCGTGAATTGAGGAAAACGTGTGACCTAAAATAAGACAGTAAATTTATTCAGAAATTATAAAATAAAATCAAGTCTATTTATATGATTGAGCAAGAACGTTTTATTCATTCAAGGTCGATTGATTTTTTCTTAAGTCTACATCTTTTCGAATGAAAAACACTTTTTATTCAAAACGTTTATTTTCTTCCACATTACGACTTAAGTGTTTTAATGAATTGTGTCATGTCATATTCCTCCTCGTATTCCTTGTCTTCCCATAGATCTGGAAGATTTTCTAGCGCTTGTTTTAAACTAACATTCGTTTGTTTACCATCCTTATTAATTTTATTGGTTTTTGATGCATCATCCGCTAGCGTGAATAAATCAAATAATTGTTCTGTTGCCATGGTGTCCATCGATGCATTTTGTTCGCTAACTATCGTATTAGCTGTGAGGAGCTTAAACTTCTGCAAACCCATTATCTTCTCTTCCAACGATTTTCGCGTTATGAGTCGGTAAACATTGACCACTTTTTTTTGGCCGATTCGATGGGCTCGGTCCATTGCTTGAAGATCTTTCATTGGATTCCAATCATGCTCAACAAATATGACTGTATCAGCACCCGTAAGATTCAACCCAAGTCCACCCACCTGTGTGGTCAAAAGTAACACATCAATACTTGGATCGCTGTTGAATTTTGTGACAATTTGATGACGCGACGCCGCTGGTATGCTGCCATCTAACCGTAAATATGACACAGTTGGCATATGCTTCTTCAATAAATCATTTTCGACGATATTGAGCATGGCTTTTAATTGACAAAATATTAAGGCACGATGCTGGTTAATTGGTGTCAGCGGATCGCCATTGAATGCTTCATTTCCAATGCCACAGTCGGACAGTAGTTGCTTGAGTGCAGGTAATTTGGCCGCATTATCGATATCGTTGAGCGTTCGATTCGATTTGGCTAGATCGTCTTGTATGATTTGGTATTCGGGATGTTCTTTGGTTAGTACTAATTTTGGATGGTTGCATACGTTTTGCAAATACCGAAGCGCTTGGAAAATATGGGTTTTACGCACCGACGCACTTCCATCACTCGACCGATCGATGGATTCCAAGCATTCGTTCAGATCATCGGAGTTGAGATGCGTTTTGCTAAAGTCTTCGTACAAACGCTCTTGCAACGGGCTCAGTTCGCATAGTAAATCTTGTGTTATCTTTGGCGGTAAGTCGGTAAGTACATCCTCTTTGACTCTTCGCAAAATGAACGGTAACACTTGACGATGCAATGATTCCATTGCCAGTGCTCCAGCTTCCTGATCTTTGGCCGAGCTTTTTGCATCACGGCTCGCCAAAATGGGACGACTGAATTTACTACAGAATTGCTTTTCTGTGCCAAGAAAGCCGGGCATCAGGAAATCAAACAATGACCACAACTCGAGTACATTATTTTGAATTGGTGTACCGGATAGAATAAGTCGGTGGTTGGCTATTAGTTGTTTCATTGCCTGTGAACATTTCGTTTTGCCGTTCTTTATGATATGACCTTCGTCTAGAATCACATAATTCCAATGAATTTGACTGAAAAACGCAATGTCCTTGCGAACTATGTCGTAAGAGGCAACAACTAAATTGTGTGATGAAATTTTCGGTCGCAGCTTCTCGCGTTCATTGGGGAAACCAACGTAGTGCAATGGCTTCAAAAATTCATTCGACACAAACTTGTTCACTTCATAAACCCAGTGTCCGGTTAATGTCGGCGGGCAAATAACCAAGCTCGGAAAATTGGCGTCTTTGTTCAGCATTCGTTGTTGATGATCACCTGCCAATATACATATCGCTTGCAGCGTTTTACCTAAAATAATTCAAACCAAATTGAGCGATTAGCGATCATGACTTCAACAATTAGCCGAAATATTTCAATATCGTACCTAAACCCATGTCATCGGCGAGAATTCCATGCAGTTTATATTTATTTAAGAACCACAACCAATTCACACCCGACTGTTGATAGCTTCGAAGTTCAGCATCAATCGGAACAGGTACATTGAAATTTGGTATCTTTTTTGGTGAGAACAAACATTCGAGGAACTCTTCATCTTTTGTCTTGCGCTCTAAAAGATCTTTGGAAAGTATCGAAGATTTCGATTCAGATACTGAATCTAATGGCATTAGTTGGATTAGTGTGGCGAAGCAATGTGTTGATAGCAGACGGACTGTTTTATCTGGATCGCTCATTCTTCCCAACAACGGAATGATTAGCAACAAAACATAGGGAACAATTTCAAATTGCAGCTTATTCACAATACAACTTATCGCCTCAACTGCTCCCTGGCGATAAATCAAATTTTCAATTGTTTGCAATTGTATTAAACCATCCTTAACGATCATATCCATCACTTTGGACGAATCGATTAAAGCCAATGTTGCGAGACACCGTGCGGCCATATGTCGAACCTGAAGATAAAGAATCGTATTTTATTCCTTATTTTTTTCTATCTATTAAATATGTAATGATTGAAATGGTTAGACCTACCGCCTTTAGAGGATGTTTTAGCAACAAATTCAATTTTGGTAATAATTCTAATAGATCATCGGATAAGCTTGGGTGAATGGCCACTGCAGAGCATTCGATCAATTGTAGGCACAGAATTAGTTCATTCGACTGATCGAAATTCACTGGCTTTTGATCATTTCCAGTCGCATAAAATGCACAAATGTCTTCGTCTCTAATCTTGATGGTGTCTTTGATTAAACCCCAAAATATTGGAACTTTTTCAATCAAATCTTTGCCGAAATATGTGCAAATGGCTTGAATGGCAAATTGTGCGCCGATGCGTTGAATCCGATTCTGTTCACGACACTAAAGAAACGGACGGAAACGATTTGTTTAGTAAATATTTTGTTGTAATTTTTTTTTCTCAAAAAAGAAAATAAATTCGACTCACTGGATCGTCTGTTTCGGCTAGATCTTCTATTGTGACATCATTGAGGGGCGGTCGACCAGGACCACGTGGAGTAGAAACTGTATGGCTATCGACGCCTTTACCTTGTATGGTTAACGTAAGCATTCCGTGGTATGGATTCTGCTTGTCGGTTTCGGCTTCATTTGGTTCAAAGTCTGTGATCATTTTTTCCGTAACCATCTGAAACAAAATTTTGTAATAAATTAATTCATTTCAATATCTGCGACTCATGAAGATGAAAAAAAAGAACTAAAGCAAAAAGCAACATACGATTCTCGGTGTAAACTCCAAATCACTTTTCAGCAAATGACAAAGATTAATCACAATTTTATTGATCGGATTTGGATTGCGATTGCGGACAAAGTCTAGCAATTTGACTAAATATTGTGCGGCCAGTTGCTGAATAATCTGACATCGTTCACGTTTGATTGATTCCATCAGTGGTTTGACTACGGGATTAAGACGATCTGGTATACTTTCCATGTTTACTGTAGCTCCAGCCAAAATGGCCAAAGTGCTGTGAATTAGAAATGGATGGATTTAATATTGATTGAATGACGAAGCGCAAAGTTGTAATATAGTTTATATCAACGTAAACGTACCTCACATTCAAGATGTTTTGTTCGTGATTGGTTTGTGCGAGTGACTGTTGGAGACTGCGTCGGCGTTCTTCGAGCAATTCGACCGTTTTTGTTTTTAAGAACGGATGTTTTTGTCGCAAATTTTCCGTGTGTGTTGTGGCTAATGCCTGAATCTGATCGATTGTCAGCACTTTGAATGAGTCAAAGTCATTGAATGGAATTTTATATTGTTTCATTGTGGCTATAAAATCGCGAGATTCTTGCAGTAGTCGAGTGAGCAGAAATGCCACTTCGTCGTAATAAACGAATTCATTCAATACTTGATGTAATTTTTCTTGGAGAACAGGTGGTCCAGGCCGAGATCCTGGATCGTTTACAGCCCAAAATGAAATGACCATACCACTAATGAGTCGTTGCAGCGCTGACCGCGACGATAGATAACCAATCAATAGTTTTGTGTAGCACTGAATCGGACTTTCTACGTCGACTGTATAAACAGCGCCTGGTGCTGGCAGAATTAAATATTTCGATAGCAGTCCAATCATTTTAGCCGCAATGCATCGGGCCCGTGGTATGTTCCGTTCTCTGACATCAGCCGGAGTGGTTTCGATACCACCCAAATACATCTTTGGATGGTGTTTTTCGCCGCCAATACTCAAATCGAGATCATTTTGCCTTTTGCTACGCTCCTTTGTTGCATTGGTTTTTGCATAAGTCATCAGGGATGGGTCGAAAGCCAGCCGAGCCGGTTGCATTGCCAAGCACATCCAAGCCGATACATACGGACACGCTGCATGTAAAAGAGCCGACAACTCAGCATTGGTCACTAAATTCACCCAAACATCTTCGGCAATCGACTGAATATCGGCGACATGCTCGACGAGAACACGTTGGTAAATATGGCGAAGAGATTCTTGGAGCAGTGCAGATGGCCACTCTTTAACACCAAAGTTAAGTGACAAATTTTTGGCATTCACATTGACAATTTTATTGAAATCACTTGCTGATTGCTCTGACAGTTTCATTTTATCGTTGCTACACGCCGGCTCGTTCGACCCATTTGTCGTTTCAATTATTGCATTGCATTGTGTCAATGTTTTCAATGTATGTAACGTGGATTTTCGAACGGATGACGTCGTGTGACTGAGGAATGGCCATAAGCGTGGTATTAGTACATTCATTGGCTCCATTCTGGTTTTGGTTCAAAAAAAAAAAGAGAAAATACTGATATTATCATAGCTGCCCGTTTATTTCGAAGACATTTAAAGAAAGAATTTTTTTCTACAAAACTTACTGTAACCACTGGCTAGCGTTTGGTAGACTCAAAATCGCTGCTAGTAACCCCATAAAACTGTTACATGCTGATGCAAGCTCGTCTTGATCAAGCAGAAGATCCCACAACATTTTTACAATACTTGACACTTGATCGATACTCAGCAGTTTTGGAAGAGATCCGGCGATTGGAATCAAAGTGGAAGCAGCTACAGCGCCAACATCGTCAACTGGATCGAAAAGTCCTGCCAGTATGTTGTTTATGGTGAATGGCAAGAATGTTTGCATCAAATCCTCTCGAACAACGAGCATGTATTTTATGCCGAGCAAACCACCGTGGCGAACTTCCCATTCATTATGTTTCATAAGCCGCATCAATATTTCGACTGTGCTCTGCACAACATTGGTCGGCATGGCTTTCAATGCAATTCCAAGTACCTGTGCACATGTCTCTCTAACCGGTGCTATGACTTGATCGGATATGAAATCCCCGAATCGATCGAGTGAGAGTACACAAAGTAAACGCAAAACAGCGTCTTCTAGCCATCGTACATGGCTTTCTTCCATTTCTTCTGCTGTCATGAAAACACTTTTTCCGGCACCTGTCGCATGTATTTTGAACAGTTCACGCAACGCTGTTGCGGCTCCGTGACGTATCTCCCAACGCGGATTGAACAGGTCCAAATACAATTTGGAGCAGAACGACTCAAGTGGCCAATCTGTTGTTGCATCAGTCCATTCACCGGTACCATCTGGTACTGATTCTGAAATCGAGTATGTGGCATCGTTTTCATTTAATTTGATTTTTTTTGTTTCGGGTTGATCGTCGCTGATAGATCCATTACTTGTTGAATTACTTCTGCTGTACGTAGCGCTCGATGAAGACACAGCTGGCATTCCACTCGCACTTGACGAGGTCACATTGTTATTGGTTGCTGTTCCACTGTTGCTCGTAATTGTTTGTTGTTGTCGTGATTTTCGCCGTAATCTTTCCAGACGGTTCAATTCGCGGCAGCTCATTGACGCCGTTGTGGACGACGACGACGTCAATCCAATTGAATCTAAATTCAGGACCTCTTGCACTGGTAACAAAGACTTATTGGGTTCATATTTATTTGCTGTGTTTCGCATATCATCCAACGAAACGAGGTCGTTTATGTTCAATAGCCCCGATTGGCACAGTCCAAGTTTTTCATTCAATTGCATCCGTTGGCGGGTCAGTCGATCATGTTCGTTCCCATTGTTTGTATCATCTAAACCACCTGCGGCATCATCTGTGTCAAATTCACTACCTTCCGAACCGATTAGACGTGCCCCTTTCTCCAATACAGTTTCCAAATTAAATTGCTCAAATGTGAGACGGCTGGCTTCGAAATTGCGACTAGACAAGTTTTCTGTTTTCACTGAAGACGGTTTGGGGTTCCATTGTGGAACATTATTTAAAATTGACTCAACGGCTTGGGCGGCAGCGATTCGCGTCTGTATGAATTAATTCAATAAAAGAAACGATTAAATAATGAAAAAAACAAACAAACAAACACACCAACTCGCTTCAAATTTACTTACATCCCATACATTGCTGTGCAAGTAAACTAACAGTCTTGAGAGTAAATTGTGCAATTCATGTGGATGTAATTTTTGAACTTCGCCAATTTGTTTGGCTGCTGCTCGTCTTGTAACTGGGGACGAGCCAGACTCCAGTAGTATAAATAATCGATCCAATCTAAAGAAGACGCAAGTAATAAACAATAAACAATTGAAATGAAAGTTTTACTGTGAGGACAAAAAAAAAGGTGACACATCGGCAACAGTCTGTTTATCATCGAATCACATCGACTCCAGACCAATCAAATGCATAATTTAATCAGAAATTTACCTTGACGTCATTTTTTCCAATAAATGTTGCTCGCTTGGTCTCGCTGAGATTCGCTTTTACAAATTGTATATACATTAAATTTATGGAATTGTTTCCCCTTTTTCGTTTCAGATTTAGTTTATGTATGCCTATTTGGTATATATCTGGTTTGTTGTTTACTTATTTTAGGTTCGTTTACGTTACTGCCATCAGTTTATGGTGCTGAGAGCGCTGAAAAATTAAATTACAAGAAAAAACACAATTCGAATAATTACGATTTTTTTTTAAAATTAATTTTTCGTTCACATTTCTATAAGGTTAGACGTTTTAAAGAGAGTGACATTTTAATATATATTTTTTTCTTCACACACAATACGCAAGTCGAATGACAAAAACAAACAAGCAATATGATTGAACATCATGTTTTCTAATGCTGTGAAATTATTAATAACATGGAGTTAATTGCCTATCGCGAATTAATTTGTTTTAGTTTATGCCAGAAAATCTATCAATCAAGGTTCACCGCCAATTTGTGATAACGTGTTCTATTTTACCCAAGCACCATAGACCAATGCACCTTTGAAAGCTCACCGAGCACACCACACTTAAAACACGCAATGAATTTTATTTTCCTGTTTTCTTTTCTTTTGCAAAATAATTGTTGTTGTTTTTTTCAATCGAAATGTTCCAATGAAGATTTTCGGAGCTGTGTGACACACGTAAGACTCAATCTAGAGTCTTTATCGGCGCAACTGTTTATTTTGTAGTTGTCATTCTATAAATTCCACATAATCGAAATATAATTGTGTTTATTGGTGAGATTTTGTTTATCAACGCGGCTAGATGCAGCAATAAAAACGATTCTGATTCTCTATTTTACCCCGTTGATTTTACGGGAAACAGAAGGCGCATATGATTTTTGTAATGTGTCTATATCGTACGCCATGTGTATCAATGATATGTAAATATTAAAATTTGTAAAAAAAGTGTGTTTTTTTTCAAAACTGATGCAGTCCATGTCATCGGCAACAGCTCATGACCCGTACTGAGCCTGATATTTCATTTGTGTTCATCAATTTTTTTCCATTTTCCGCAAAAAGCGCAGGTTATTCGTGTTCGCATTCGGTTGAATGTATAAGTGAAACGCCAGTTCGCAATTGGAAACGAACACGTCATTATCGATTCAATCGCTCTCGGCAATGTATCCCCAATGTAAACATAAAATAGATCGCCGCACGGTTTAATTATGCATATACCCATTAATGAAGCAAACAATTTCAATCCAGAAATAACATTGGCTCAAACGATATGCTATTTAGGATAGCGGCGATACACAAATTCAGCATTTCCATTTTTTGGAACAAATTTTTTATATTGAATCGTTGTAATTTGTGTAATTACATTCTGGGCCGAATGGTGTACACTATCCATGTCGTTAACTGATTTTAGTTTGTATGTACTGTTGCTATTACTTGATCTCTATGAATTGAGTGCGTCGATGCGTGTGTTACGTGTATGAATTGAAATTGATAAGCTCTGGTTATACAGGTTATTATCCTCTATTTTATTTTATTTTGTATCAGTTTTTCTTTCACTTTTTTCTGTTTACTTTTGCCTGTATTGAGCTCACTTTTCATCCATTCGTATTTTCGAAAACTTCTTTGTTTTCTTGTGTTCGAGTGTGCAAACGATTCGTCGATTTTTATTGTTTCATCAAGCCGCCAATCAATTCACTTCTTTGGGCCATTTCGTTTGTGTTTTCTGCCTGTTTGTTTTTTTACAGAACGGCACGAATTTCGAGCACGCGTTCAGAACATATGTTCTTCACTTTATCTGTAGGAAATACCATGGTTATATGTTTTCTATATATTTTCAATTGTCAATGCCTATTGAACATTTTTCCAAAATTATTGATGCTAATTGCATCTGTGTATGACGTACAAAAATCGATTTAATAAAGAAAACGGTGAAAATGTCCACGGCTTGATCGATTCCAATGATTTTCATTACCAAAAAAATTCTTGTTCAAACGATTGGAATAACTAGCATAACATCATTATAGTCAAAATCGATCATCTCAGTGACGTGTCAATTCTAATAATTGTTTCTGACGAGAAAAAAAAAACATTTGGTTGAATCATGATTTATCATCAAATTTTTAGAAGATATCTTGATGATATGTCGTAAACCATCCAAATTGTAATATAGTCTTAAAATAAACCACTTTAGTGAAAAGATACAAATAAGTCATATATTCATATCGGAATTTTTTTTTTGTGATCTTCTCAAATATGATATAAAAAGCAACAGTTACCCTTCAAAGTTTTGCAGAAAATAAGTCTATTTGTTCAATTGTTAGAATTTGGATGGTTTACGATAAGCCATCTATTCAGTAGGCAAACAAATTTGAAATAAATTATTGAACTCTGTATACTAGAGAGAAAAAAGCACATGCCACGATACACATTCTATACTCCGGTAATTGGAATAATTAAACTATCGAACAATTTGAGCGACTGTCTAGCAACAGTGCTGCTGTTATTGCTTTTTTCTTCTTCATAAAACAGAACGCGCTTTATGTATGTGCTGAACTTATTCCATTAGTTCATTCAATTGCCAGATAATAGATAAACAAAAACCTATTACAAATATACAATGTAACTTGAATGTTCGAGTTTCTGGCACTGCTTTCAAATGTAAATTAACTAACGAAATGTATGAATAAAATATGAACATTCGAATCGAAGTTATTCCTTTGAAGTGTGCAAAAAATAACAGACATTTACGTAATTTCCTCGATTTGGTGACACAATAATGAAATTGCAATATATCAAATTGCCTCATCAGAAAAGGAAATATGAAATAATTAATTCTTTTTTGAATTTGAACCAAATATTTGGATAATTTTAATTCAATTAGGTTTTCATTACCGTCGTGGTAAAACTGCAGTAGTGTGTAATTTCATGGTCATGCATCAAATCTGTTTCTCGATATCTCGACTAGGAACCGAAAATAATAAAACCGTTAATTTTTTTTCTGGATTGGAAAATAAAAATTATTCGCACCCATTTGAATTAAGCACAAATTGAATGTTCAGATAAATCACGTTTTGAATTATGTGCCTCGTGGCTTTTATGATTTTTCATATTTGATATTAAAATAAAAATGTATATTCGGTGTGAAGAAGGTGAATATTGTTCTAAATTTGCTACAAGTGAATTAATTGAAATGACCCAACCACATGCAATGTTCCACATTGTGACCAAAAATAATAATATTTACATTACTTTAGCCTGGGCTGCGTCCGTTTCTCTACCAAGACAAATGCTCATTTTATTTAATGTCAGCAAGCAAGATATTTATGACCGTTTAGCCGACGATATTCATATCTCATGAGATATGTGTCCCCTGATGATAAAAGTAAGTGTACTGTTCATGAAGGCAATGAAATATTCGACACAGAAAAAAAAAACAATTTCATATCTACGACGGAGAGCGAACTCGGTCAGTTGAGAGGCCCTCGAAAGTATATGTGTTCCTGTTTGTATTTAACACAAAACGTGTGCATTCGTCGCCTTGCGAATTATAAGGAGAGCCAAAATGAAAAATATTCGAGTCGAGCGAACGAAACCACAGACATGCACAACACAATACATTTGCTTCTGTGATGGTTGCAGTAGCGCGTAACATTTGTTCGATTAGATTTTATCAAAAAAAAAAATATTTTTCATATAAAAATTTAGCAGAGCGTGTTATGAGCTGATGTCGGCAGCACTAACTAACGTCAGCTGCTGATATCAGCTACTGACGAGTATGCGTTGCGTTGTTTTAACGCATTTGCAGTAGTTTCATTTCAAACTTGACTTGGCACCCAGAAAGGAATACGAATTTTGTGCTGCAAATGCGTTGAAACAACGCAAAACATACTCGTCAGTCTGACGTTAGTTAGTGCTGCTGACATCAGCCCATAACATGCTCTGAAATTGAGCGAATTTTTTTTTTCTCCACCAAAATTCGGATTAACAAATATGGAATGGGGAAAAAAAATTATGGTAGATAAAATGAAGAAAAAAATTAATTATCCTCAGTCAGTTTCGAAGTGATATCAAAATCTATAGAATCTAATGCTATGGCGTGTGCAAGTGCAAGCAAATGGAGTGAAGAAGGCAATTTATAACGGTGTGAATCAAGGCCGTAGCCAGCTCGAAATTTCTGGGGGCGCTCAAAGACTAATAATGGGTGCTCGCAATAGCAACAGTTATGAAGATTAAAAAAGCTAATTTTATTGTTTTTTATTGCTTATTACTTTTTTTATATCCGATTTATGTCCAAACCGAATATTCATTTATAATAACCGTAAACGTTTTCTTTAGATTATTTCTCCGTGGAAAATGACTGTTCCAAAGTTAGTTCCAATTGAAATAAGGGTAATAGATAAAAAGATTCGATTGTCATTTTTGTGATTTTTTAAAATAATATTTTCCCTCTTAATGTCGAAGCATTATTACAACTCAAAAAAATTTCTTGGTGTATTTTTTAACAAACACTTTCCAAATTTGGAAAGGTGCTCATGAGTTACCAGAGGGCGCTCAGCGCCCTTTCGCGCCCCCGTGGCTACGGCCCTGGTGTGAATAAAAAATGAGAAATTGGCAATTAAATCGTTATGTAATTATTTACAATTGACTGACGGGCACATAAAATTCACGCTATCGCCCGAGCTCATGCGCTCACTCACTCTCATGAATCCCAGATTACGGGACGTTAAATTGTGTTTAAATCGGCCTAACCTTCGATTGAAGATTCTTGTTACCAGAGAGAGAGAGAGAGAGAGTGTGTGTGTGTGTGTGTGTTGTCTGTATTGAGTATTTGTATTCAAGTAGTCAAAACACAAAGGTGACTCAAATGATGTTTCTACAATATTGAAAGTTGGCCATATATTACATGGTCTAAATTCTCCCCCATGTCAAAGAAGAAAAAAACCAAATTACCAACAACTTTATAAGCAAGCGTTCTGAGCGTGTGCGTATGTCTGTGTCTGCGAAAAACGCATTTTATGAATCATAAAAACTGAGTTCACGAGTTATACCAAATTATGAAACGAATGCAAATGTGCGTATGCACGCCATGCCATGCTAACGGCATTCCTTGAATCTAAATTTTTCATATTTTTTTCTACATAAATTTTACGCCTGATATACGCGCGTTCGTTGGGCAAAAAAAATTGCACTCACACACTTTGACTCTCACATAGTATGAGCGTGGCCAAAACTATGGTGAATTATACTGCGCTGTGCTCACTGACTTTTAGTCAACGTGCTTTCGGCAACCAGTTTAATCTAAAAAAAACGATTACAATAATATCCAGTAGAGTCGCGTTGCACACACACACTAAAGTGAGCTCGTTATGTCAACTCTCCACGATCGCATACATGGTGATTATTGATATGGCTGGAATTCACATGGAGTTACGAAAAAGAAAGAAAAAAAAAATGGAAAGAGAATGGCGAAAACACCATCGAAAAAGTTGCGTTTTTTCACTGTCTTGAACTGATTAATCGCTAATCAACGTCGTTCAATGAAAATTTCCTCAATGGAGATGATTGGGAGGCTCATCCGAACCGTTAAGACTGTACGATGGACAGAAAACGAAAGAAAAGTAAAATTCTTAACACGAATACACACAAGTAGCTATGTAACAATAAACCTGTATAGATAATAAAGTTGAAAGTTTTGACAGAGAAATTTCAAGGTAGGATAGATCGAAAAATGTATAGAGTCTCGTTTGCCTTTCGAATAATAGTAGAAAAAAAAACAAGGCATTCAGGCAAATGAATAATGCGTTGAGTCAAGAGAATGAAATGGAATGAAACAGAATGACTGGGCAATTGACCAAGACTAACAGAGACGTCGAGTCCAACACACACATCCATTGACATAGTTACGTTTTCTATTTTAGTTGCTGTTGCTGCTGCTGTTGCGTTTCATACATTTTTGTTCGCATTTGTTTCTGCTTTCGTTGGATTGAAGTGAGGTTAAAAAATCATTTTCTTGTACAGAACATTATTCATTGGCATTCAATCTCGCAAAGAAAAGAAAGGCAAATGCAGAATCATACAACCAAAATACACAAATACCGTCAACGTGTTAATAATATTTCGTTGTTTTTGCGTTAGTAACATTATTGTATATATATATACATATATTTTTTGCTTGTCATGAGCTGAAAAGAAATTGAAACCGAAACTGAAATTGAAACCAGCACCAAACGCTCGATATGTGTGTGATCATCTAAAGTAATATGCATATGATTACCGTCAACCAAATGAAATGCATTCACACATTGTATTAGAGTGTGTTGAAGCTACGATATGCGTTTGTATGAATTTATGTTATAAAAATTTGTTGATATCTAATGAAGGGCGAAGGTGTGGTGCCGAGAAATTTCTTTGGTACATACTTTTTTGGTCTAGGTGAAGGTGTGTGCTCTTAATCGTATTTATGATTATAAATGTTGCTGTTTTTTATTTAATTTTATACCATTTTATATAACTGCATTAACTTTCACATGCGCGTAAACACATACGGAATCCAATGGATGGTTGAATGTAAAGTAAACGTACTGCGATTAACTCAACTAAGTTTTAAGTGTTTTTTTTCTTTCTTTCTCTTTCTCACTCCCTCTCTCTCTCTCTCTCTCTCTCTCTCTCTCTCTCTCTCTATCTATCTTTCGTTCATTTAATTATTTTTGTTTGCTGTTGTATATTTTATTCGAAGTCACGGCAATGAAAATCGCCAACAATGCCAAATAGATTTGTCTTCAAAATTTGTCGCGAAAAACAAAAACGGGTTGTTTTCTCTTGTTGTTGAGATATTGTTGAATTTAACACTTCGAAAACGCACGGGATAGATTTTTGTTCGAATATCTCAATACCGACGCAGTCGAAAAATAAGTAAACATTTAGACACAATAAAACTAAAAAAACGCATAGTACTCCTTCTAGGATCTTGTTGTTATTTTTCCTCCTTTTCTTAACTAAAAAAGTTATGAAAGTTCCATAAATATTGAACAATTCCTTGTTGTTTTGTTTCTTTATACACCATTGATTTATTGAATGAGTGAAAATTCGAATGGCAAATATTTTTTACGATTTAGTATGAAGGAGCTCATTGGGTTTTCTAGCTTCAAATAGTTCGTCATTTCTATCGATTGTTCTTGTCGCACCCATTTGTTTTAGTACTGTTGCTGTTTCGCTCGTTTTCGTTGGCTTGGCTTGACTTGACACTTTAGTGCCGCCTCGTACAGGAAAATGGAATATTAAGCGATTTCAGGGAAAAAATATACCGTCTTTCCATTGCGTACGAATATTATCTCAAAAATATTTTCACCGAAATAGAAGAAGAAGAAAAAGAACCGTCATCGGTCGATGTATGTTTTCAGTTTATTTAGTTTCTTTGTTCTAACTTTTCGACGATATACAGATAAAAATGAACGTCGGCATGAAACAAAATAAATATGTGGTATTTTTTTCGCTCTATCTCTCTCTCTTGAAAATAATTCTTTCTACAACAATTATCGGAAAACTGTCAAGTGATTACAGCGTGGAATAAGTAAAATAGAAAGAATTTGAAACGAACACTTGGTTTTTTCTGTACAATTAAGTGTAGTTTTACTGAAACTGAGTCCCGTTTTAGAGTTTTTTGCAAGATTCTACTTTTTTCCCATGTAGCATCCATGATTTTCAAATTTATACTGACGGTGACTTATACGGTGCAACGCGATTTTAATGCTCACAAGCCAATGTGCGATGTTTTTGCGATGTTCGACACACAGCAACCAACTGTCAAATGACAGTAGCTAAACCAACAGAATAACATTGAAAAAAAAAAGGAAAGAACTGTGAGAGACCCAACTTAACGCAACACTCAACGCAGCAATCAACTCAACTAGATAAAAGAATACATCGCTTGCACCACACAAATGCACATCGAAATTTCAAGGGAAAGAATTTATTTTTTTTATTGTTGTATTTGTTATAAAACGAGAAACGAACGGATACAGTTTGTTTGTAATATTATTTGACTCCGATTTGACTTTTTCGATTGGATGAGTCGTCGTTAAATGCCATCAATTGCTCAATCAATTTACAAGTGAACAAGTGAAGATATCAATGCTTACAATCACGTAGTTTGTATAAGCACAAGAATTAGTTCTGAATTGAAATAGTTCCAAACAATGCACAACAACACAGTAATGATGTGTGATATTTAATACGGGTGCGATGTGAGCGGGGTATTTCAACTTTATTTAATTGCCATAAAAAAACAAACCGTGAGAACATTAATATTCATCGGAACTTTGCATTTGTGTTCATTAGGATTCAGTATTAATCAATTAATAGAGTTACGACTGAGGTACTGAAAAAGTAAAAGAAACAGTGCTACACAATACGGGAAAAAGAGATGTCCACTTTGGTGCCATTCGGAAAATTATCCACTCCATCGCCAGATCCAGAGGCAGATGAGAATAGCTCAAAACGACAAGCCACGAGGGTGTTCAAAAAGAGTTCATCAAATGGCAAAATTACCGTTTACCTCGGAAAAAGAGATTTTACACACGCTGATCCCATCGATGGTGTTGTTTTAATTGATCCCGATTATGTGAAGGACCATAAAGTATTTGGCAGTGTATTGGCCGCATTTCGTTACGGACGTGAAGACTTAGACGTGCTTGGGCTGACGTTTCGTAAAGACTTGTACGTTGCACAAGAGCAAATTTTTCCAAGAACCGAAAAAGAGAGGCCTCTGACCAGACTACAAGAACGTCTGATCAAGAAACTTGGTTCGAATGCCTATCCATTTTATTTTGAAGTTCCACCACACTGTCCAGCCAGTGTGTCACTTCAACCTAGTCCCAATGAAACGGGCAAACCATGCGGTGTTGATTATGAATTGAAAATGTATGTTGGCGATCAAATTGATGACAAGCCACACAAGAGGAACTCAGTGCGTTTGGCCATTCGAAAAATTATGTATGCACCATCGAAAATTGGCGAGCAACCATCAATCGAAGTGAGCAAAGAGTTCATGATGAAACCAAACAAAATTCATTTAGAAGCCAGTTTGGACAAGGAGCTATACCATCACGGCGAAACAATTTCCGTCAACGTTCACATTGCCAATAACTCAAATCGCACAGTGAAAAAGATTAAAGTGTCTGTGAGGCAATTCGCAGATATTTGTCTATTTTCAACAGCACAGTATAAATGCACGGTGGCTGAAATTGAGTCCGACGACTCAGTGGGTCCTGGTTTTACATTGAGCAAAGTATTAACATTACGGCCATTGCTCAAGGACAATAAGGATAAGCGTGGCCTTGCATTGGATGGTCAACTGAAACATGATGACAGCAATTTAGCATCTAGCACAATAATCACCGATCCAGCGCACAGAGAAAATTTGGGTATAATCGTTCAATACAAAGTAAAAGTGAAACTGTGTATCGGCGGTCCGATTTTGGGCGGAGATTTAGTCGCAGAGCTGCCGTTCACTCTCATGCATCCGGAGCCAATCGATGATGAACCTTGCTTTACACTATCGGATCGAGCCTCTAGCCGAACAAATGCCAACTTACAGGCCACCAAAATGGACGAACATAACGAAAGTTCAACTAGTGGAAATCTCATTCAATTAGAAGATGATGACTTCAAGGATGATGATATCATTTTCGAAGATTTCGCTCGACTCCGATTGAAAGGTGAAGCTGATTAAATGACATTCACCTGCAGTGAGATTCACTCGTCTTCTTATCAAAACGCATAGCATTATTATTGAAACTTTTATTATTATTTTTCTATTTGAATTTTGCTTCATTGTCTCAATATTCGGCCCAATACATGGATTAAATAAAAGAACAACAACAACAACAAAAAAAATAAAACAAAGCCAACATTATATTTGTAGGTATAATTGTAATTAGTTTTGGATAAAGATTACTCTGCGTTTTCAATGTATTTTGAAATGGGTGATGTATTTGACGCACACATTTCTAGGTTATGTTCAGTGTTTCAATGTTTCTCTATAGCCTAAAAATGTTCATTCTCGTTAATTTTTTTTTTACTTTAATAAAAATACTTTGCAAAGACAGAATGATACACAAACACACACAATTGGAGATGCGTTTAATTTTTATTTTCAAAATCTTAGCCTTTTATTGATACAACTTATTTGCCCAATTCATCGGTGCCAATATTATATTTTGTCTTAATGTTGTTCAGCTCCTCTTGTTTCTTGTCAACATCTAATCGCTTGAACGCCTTATTTGATTGATAGTAAAGTACAACCAAGTATCGATTGCAAACGTTGAAGCCAGATAAATGATCACAGGCATTCTTTGCATCGAAAATGTCTTCGTAAACAACAAATGCTGTTCCTCTGGTTTCTGGTGTATTTCCACTAGATATTAGGAAAATAATGTATGAATTATTTCAATTGAACAAGTTAAACTCAGAATGTCAATTTACTATTTCAATTGAAATACTTACACTCGGATCTGTCGTATTGCGCCATATTTTCCAAAAATATCGTACATTTCATCCGATGTGATTTTGTATGGTAAATTTCTGATGTAAAGAACACGATTCACTTCTGGGGGCAATCGAATCTAAAACAAACAACATTTCAGTTTTAATGTAAACGTTTGTCAGTCAAATTGTATTTCTATTCGCATGCTATGGTTATTTTAATTGGTTTATACTTACATTGTTCCGTTTTTGCATAGCCAACGACATTTTTATGGATTTATCTTGATGTTTTTTTTTTCACTTAGAAATAAATATTTAAACGATTGAAATTGTGGTAAAACGTTCCGTGTTGACGATAAAATGGTACACAAAACTATGTACGCCAGCTATTTGACATCTGTAGAAACACCAATGCAAACGTTCAATGCTGAAATCGCGTGCGTTCTATGTTCAATTCAACTATGCGATGTTTTTTTAGTGCGTTCATTTATCAGAAATGTTTTGGTAAATAACCGTTATCCAATATTGGATTATTCGCATGTATTGTGACTGAACAAAAAAAAATTTGCCATCAGTACTCCGTAGTTTTGTGTCGTCTTGTGTTCGTCTCTCATTTTTATATTTCTATATTTTTAAGTAAAAAAAAAATGGACAAATTTGGCTACAAAATTGTTGAAATCATTGGCACTGGAACGTTTGGGTAAACTCATCTTCTGCATACTTACACCTGTTTGGTTTAAATATACAAGAAAAATATTCATGATAAACTTGAACAATGTCGCAGCACGGTATATAAATGCATGGATGACAACAACAATGTACGCTGCATCAAGAAAATTCAATTGGTAGACGCATCGGATGTTGTGACAAACGCACATTTCGAAATGATTCAACAGGAAATCTATTTGTTGCAAAATTTGGCCCATCCGCGAATCATTGGACTGTATGAATATTTCTGTTCAAACACTGATAACAAGTGCATTTACATTGTCATGGAATATGCATCAAACGGTTCATTGTCAAAAATGATAAACGATCAGCAAACTTTTTTGGACGAAAATGTAAGTGACACACGATTTGATTTCTGTTTAGTTTGATTTTATTGCATTGTTTTTGTGTTTCGTCCCACAGAAAATCAAACAGGTTTTAATTGACATAGTGCTAGGTGTTGAATATTTGCACATGAAAAACGTAGTTCATAAGGATCTGAAACCCTGTAATATTTTGTTATGCAACAACGGACGTTTGAAAATCGCTGATTTCGGTGTTTCAAAAATAAAAAATATGTAAGATTTACCCATGCAATTTTTCAAAGAAAAATTTTCATTAAAAACTACTTCTTAAATTTGCAGTGATAATTGCTATTTGGATGACGTGTTTCAACGTAATGAAACAAAGGAAATGGGTGGTTCACCAATTTACATGGCACCCGAAACATTGATACACAAACATTTCAGTTTTTCCAGTGATATTTGGGCCCTCGGTTGTATTTTGTATGAACTTTGTGCACTGCAGCCGGCCTTTGGTGCAGTGCAAGTAAGTTTACCAATTGGAATTCAGTCGAATTTATTGGTTTGAAACCAGAGAGTTTGAATTATTGTTTTTTTCTTTAGTCGATGGACGAATTAATAAGATGTACGTTGACCAAAGAATACCCACCTCTAAATCCAGACAATGTTAGCAAGCAAATGGTCGCTTTGTGCGCACACATGATGGAAGCAGACGTAAAAAGACGTGCCACAATTAAAGATGTCATACGCAATCCAGTGGTCATTGTTGACTATTACCACAGCTATTTTCGATTTGACCCATAGTTTGGACGAGATTTTACATTTACATTACAAAAAAAATTAGTGTTAGTTCATTGATATTTATTACATATTATTATTGCATGAATCTTTGGAAGTCAACGACAAAATAATTGAAAAATAAAAAAAAATTGTACAGTCGAGCGAGAAAAGAAAAACTAATCTCACGACTCTATTGATTGGACCATTGTTAGAAAATTGATTGGACCATTGATTGGAGATATAAATATATTCGTTAAAATCATGAAAATTGTTCAAATTGTTAAAAACTAGTGCTTTTATTCTGATTTGATTGAATTGATTATCTGGTGTGTTTTGCGTTGAATATCCAACGGACTCAGAAAATGTGGTTTAACACTGATGACAATGGCATCTAGCACGAACACAATTACGATGCACGAACGACGACACCTCAAGTCAATTACAGTACAATTTTTGGTAGTGGTTAATGTATTCTTCACACAGCTCGGCTGCAAACAAAATACAACAGAATGGAAAATTTCAATGTTTTCTTCAAGTTGATATACAATCGGCACATTTGACAAACTCAATAATACTTTTCAGAAAATCTGGAGAGCCACGCTGTCGAATATTACGCTGCTGAAACCACGTATACACTGTATAAAAAACAATTGAATCATTGGTTTTCTTCGCGGCTTCAAGGTATTTGCGGGCTGACAAATTTTCGGCTCCTGTCAATGAATTGGCTAATCGAAGAGCTTCGACAATCTTCCCTTGGCCTAAAAGCACCTCGATTATTATCTGAAAAAGAGAATCGTGAAACTCATTCGAATTCTATCATCATGTGATGGAATCTGGTGTTCTACAAACCGTTTCTGCATTCAACTTATGCAACATATCTAAAGCCATTTGGGTGACGGAAGGATGTTCATGTGATAACGAAAGTAGGAAACATGCAAGCACTTTTGATTCATTAATCAAAGAGAATTTGATTAAATTCTGTAGCGTATCGAATTGCTTGCGTCGCACTAAATTAACAATAACAAGTTTGCTAATGTCATGCTGAGCAGCAATGTTGTTTTTGGCTAAAGAAGTAATGTACAGCATGAGCACTTGTCCGATGTAAGTTGATTCACTGATATTCGAAAAAATATTGACAAATAAATCATTTTGGTCGATGAGTACTCGTGGTATTGTCGTTGTTTTGGCTACTTGTTTGGCAGATGACGGTTGAGCTGTAATATTCTGTACCTCGGCGGTAACCCAGCTCCTGTGGGGGAAAAAAACACATATGCAGGATATTGAATTGCATCAAATATTTTGATTACTCACGAATAAACGACATTCAATTTGTCGAAGACATTTTCAATCACAGGCAAAAGATTTCCATTGTATTGGCTACTGAGCATTTCTTTTAGAGTTCCCACCAAAACAAGTTTTGCATTCGTTCGGTTCAGTAGCAGTTCCACCAATCGTACTCTATCAGTGATCAAATTGCACAATGATTCCAATCGTAGTTTCACATCCCACAAGCAGCCAAGCTTTGCATCAATGACTATATTTGGTTGAAACAATACCCAATTTGGTGAATCTGATGGAGAACGGTACAAAGCAATATTAACAATAACGAAATATTTAATTACAATAACAACTAGTACTTACACAATTCACAGTTTTTCGTTTTTCCGTCCAGTGATAAGCTTGGTACTTGCAGTGAAAATGGTTTGATCGGTCTTCCCAGTGTGATTGGCGTATGATACGTGACATCATTTGTGGTAACTGTTCCACTCGTTAATTTAATGTCGAATAGTAAAGATGTGGCAGAAGCCTAGGTATTGTCAATAAATTTCATTTAAATCGAACATTTTGGTATTATTGTTGAATAGATTTGTATACCTGGTGATGAACGACTATCAAATCATCGACAATATTCATGGCAAAGCGTCCACTGTGACCGAGCTGAAGTATATGGGATTTCTTTGGAGCTAAACCTGGCCCATTCAAAAGATAAATGATAACTTCGACCAATCGGGTTGATGTTGGTTTTAATATCAAAATTGACAGAGTGTCATAGATTTCAGCCAACGTTAAGTCTCTCTCTGGAATGCCATGTTCACTTTTCCCTGATTTGGATCGAATAGCCAACAAATTATAAATTTGGTATTCCGAAAACATTATGTTAATTATGTAACATACATTCAATTTTTGGCAATCTCGTTATGACACCACCCTGTTTTATAAGAATGGGTGTTAGTAGCATTCCTTTGTTTGATGCAAGTACAGCCAAATTCCCCGTTGGACACCATGAAAACCAATCGACCGTCAGATTCATCGATTTTATCGATTTCAACAGCTTTTTCTCCACATTAACCGTAAATATTTCAACGCCTGTATTTGAAATAAATACTACCTCTCTATTATGTATCCAAACGAATCCATACACTGTTGTACTTTTGCTTTGGTGCACAATCATTTCATTGACATTTGGTTGATTGTTTGCGAATGTGATGAATTCCACGCATTTTTCGGTTCGTTGGATGGCCAATAACTTTTTGTCGGGCGAAAATTTTATCGATCGCATCGGCCCCTTATCATCCATACAAAAAGTGAGCGTCTGATTTTCGGTTGGCCCTTTGACAGTGATTCCAGTGGCACCGCCCGATCGCACAGCGAACAACTGTTTGAATGAATACATTCGTGATATGGAAGGAAAAACAGGTAAAATAATGTGCTAGAATCGCGATGGTTTAGTCGAACCTGTTTATTGGAATCATCAAAGAATACATCGGTTATTTGACTGACTGAATCAAAGCGAATGGGATCGCTACACAACTCCAAATAGTATGATTGCTCCATGGCTAAATTGTATCCACACATAAAAACACAACAAAATTAATTTAACAAAATAGTTGAAAACAAATGAGACAATGATTTTATTTGATCAATCACAGTAATTGGGAATATTTTTAATTCATTGTTTAATGCCCATTTCAGTCATTCAATAGGTGGTAAACAATTGACATTTTTGCCATTTGACAGACCATTTGTTTTGCATTGGTTAATCTAATAAACATCGATAGTGCAGTGTGTTGCAGGAATTCATCGCAGACGAACAGTGACATTTCGATGTTTTCGCGTACATTTGCTGCCAATGCTAGACATTCGCCGCTGTCGATTTGTTTTGGCATCAACTTTAGGTCAATTTTCATTTTCATTGTAATTTAACACGAACTCAAAATGGTCAAACTAACACCGGAATTAATAAATGCATCGATGCAGTATATAAATCCATGCCGAGATCGTGAATTGGATCTGCGTGGTAAGAATTTTGTTTTATTTTTTATTTATTTTAAAAAAATTCAAGGTTATGTTGACTCATGATGCTTTCGCATATCCGATGGATTTTATCGTTCTTTTATACAAATATAAAATGAACATTATGTCTCGAATGGGGATTCATTGATCGGTTTATTTTAGGCTACAAAATACCGCAAATTGAAAACATGGGAGCCACACTGGATCAGTTCGATACAATTGATTTTTCGGATAATGATTTGCGACGTTTGGATGGGTTCCCATATTTGCCACGAATTAAATGCTTGCTGTTAAACAATAATCGCATTGTGTAAGTTGCTTCACACGAAAATTCTACAAATTTCGGATACTAAGTTGCATTTGGTGTCATTTCACAGACGAATAGCAGATAACCTTCATGAGTTCCTTCCGAATCTGGAGAGTATTATACTGACAGGGAACAATTTACAAGATTTTAGTGATTTAGATCCCCTTGTGGCGCTATCTAAACTAGAAACACTGTCACTGCTCACAAATCCAATCACTACTGATCCTCATTACCGCGAATATATCGCCTACAAGTAAGTGTATTTGGTTAACATAATCTAGAATAAATGAGGTTTGATATTCATCTTTATTGCCTTAGATTCCCGAAGCTCCGGCTCTTAGATTTCCGTAAAATTCGGCAAAAGGATAGACAAGCTGCTGTTGAGCTATTTAAAAGTAAAAAAGGGAAGGAAATCCTCAAGGAAATTGCAAAGAAAGCTAAAGCAGCTGCTGCAAATCCCGCCGCTGCAGAGTCGAATAGTTCAAAAGGTAAACCCAAACACGCTCGCTCACTCACTCATACACATTTAACAACTTTTCATTTACTCCCGATCATATTCCACAGTCCCAACGGCATCACAAGAAGATGTCCAGAGAATCCGAGATGCTATCAAGAATGCAACATCTTTGCAAGAGGTTGAGCGGCTCACGCGAATATTACAATCGGGCAACATTCCAGAAAATCTCAATGCCGAAAATGGAAATGGAAATGGTAATATCTTATGAAATTTACGAATCTTATAGACTGTAATCGATTTTTCAACACTTTTAGGCGCGCCACATGAAGATGATGCTATGGAAATGTGAGCTGGAATGGAATTAGCTAAAAAAAATATCAAACTTATCGATAAGCAACCGTTTTCTTAATCTTTTCATGAGCAACAGACATTTCTTTGTTCAAGTCAAATATTTAATAAAATATTTCATTTCAACATATTTCATGAAGAACATTTTTTTTTTGTGACGCGCTTTGCAAACATTGCAGTGGAGTGAACAGCTTGATAATCATTTTTCTCATACAGTAGTACACTTATTTCGTTGACAGAAATTCTGTCTTCTTCGACTGAAGTTTGCACGTAAATTACTAGATTGATTAGTCATAAATAAAACACCATTTTACATCAATTAGTTGAAATATTTTTATGGCTTTTCGAAAATAGTTTGCATGGTAAATGTTTTATTTTTATATATATATATAAATACAGCGTTGTCGAAACTTATACATTAGGACTATGACTCGGAGATGAAACAATGATGTTGATCGATGCCAATGGCATATGTGAATGGCATAGCTGTTATTCGTTGCTGAGTAAATGCACCTAATCGGTGCCGAAATAACGTTGTCCGAAGTGGTTCGGTGCCACTGGATGGAGTTCCGATGTGAGAATTTTCATGTCTGGGAAAGCGGCAACGACGGTTTTAGCCGCTTGTGGCGTGCAAAATAAATTCGATAAAATAATTGAAGATTCCTTTACACCATGCTCTTTCAAAACATTCACGGCCTAAGAAAATAAATCAATCAAAATATTAAAGACATATTAGTGCCCAACTAGGCTCATTGGGATGGTGTCAACGTTTCAAATGTTGTGTACCTGAACAACCGTATTGCCGGTTGACATGATTGGATACATGAGTAAAACTTGCCGTTTGGCGATGTCATCCGGAAAACGAGCATAAACTACTTTGGCAACGTGTGTTTCGGCATCCGATTCGACTAAAATTTTACCAATCCGAATTGATCGGCAGCAATCACGTAGTCCTTGTTCCATTGCCTCACCCGAACGAACAATGGACACACCGCAATTGCCTGACTGATATCTAATGAAAATGAGATTGAATGTGAATGTTAATGCAAAAATTTCAATGCGGTGGGTTCAAGAAAGATTTGTCCATATGCGGCTAGGTCCATACTTTAAACCATCGTAGATTGCTCCAGTGGGCGTCACAACGGAGCAGTCTGAGTATGGCAATTGGTTTAAACTTTCTTCAATCACCAACCGAATCAAACGATCGGCATAGAATTTAAAATCACTTCGACTAGTATTCCTGAAAAATGCCAACAAAATGATATGTCACTTTCATTATTTGATGGAGAAAAAGTTGTGTTTCGTTTTTTCTTCACCTATCGCGGATTATGGTTTGGAGCTCTTTGATTTGAGAATTTTGCTCCAATACTTTGAGATTATCACCTATTTTATGTTCGATTGAAATTGGTACATTATTATTTACGGTGCCCATAATTGTAAAGATCTTTCTATTTCACTTGCGCTATGACTGTATAAATATTTGGGAATTGTTATTTCTCTCGATGTTATCTTATCTGCATTGTTCACGTGCAACACCATTGACAGCTGTCAAATGACCGTACACAAAGTTGGAAGAAAATGCAATATTTTCATACAAAATATTTCTTCTATCAAAATTGTTCTAAAATAATATTTAAATAAATATATTTTTACACAATTTGTAATACAATTTGCATATCTTGATAGATGTTGAATTGAAAAATGGAATTTCTTTTTTCTTGTAACAGTTTTGAAAAGGTTCGTTTCGTTCTACGAATGCATACAATGAAATGAGTACGTTTCATGCTGGTTCATACATTCAGTCAAGTTAACGTTGTTGCTTTGTTTTCGTTTGACCATGCTAAAGCACATCAAATTATGCTTTGTTGTTATTCTCAACTCTGTCGCCAAACATTGCTACGATATACATACATATGAACAATGAAATTCATGTTGTTGCCTGCAGTGGCTTGATTTTGAGAAGAGTTGAATATTGGTCGTAATATTGATTCTGTGCAAAATATAAAGTAATAAATTGATGGAATAAGACGTAAAAGTTGCTACGATTTTGTGTAGAAAAAAATGCAATTTTGATTGCCTAAAGAAAGTGTAGCATTGAAATTCGAATAAATGAACTTGAAACAAATATGGACAGTGAAGGTTTGTGTTTTTTACATTACAAATTTTTTTCTTCTTCTTATTGTTGTTCTCATGGACAGAAGCTTGAAATCTTCTTATTCTATCATTGAATTAATGTTGATTTCACACGATAGGGAGCAACGACACGGGCAATGCAGCAACCACTGAGCCGATTGAAATAAGCGTCATATCGATAGATACAGTACAGGATATGATAATAGTTCAACCAGGTGAAATAAACCAAGCAAACACTGATTCGAGTCCAAATCGCAACGAACAATCGGTTAACATCGATATCAATAATCCTACAGTTGAATCAAGCAACGAAACAGATGTCACACCTAGTCGAAAAAAGCGAAAAAGGTAATAAATGTTTTGTATAACTGCGACATTTGTTGCAACGCAACACGATATAGATTTACGAAGCGAATGAATGACATGAATACGCCTGAGCTGTCATAGAAAAGAAAATGAAGGTTGTCATTTTCAATGCTTATTTTAGATCACAGTCTCGGAAATCAGATTCACCAAAGAAAGCGCCACCACCATTGGACAATGATGATGACGACGGATCCACATGTTCGATCTGCTTGGATACATGGGAGTGTAAGGGTGATCATCGCTTGGTCTCATTGAAATGTGGCCATCTGTTTGGAGAGAGCTGCATCAAACGGTATTCTGATTTATTTTTGATTATTTTTGTCGTGGACAAACGGAAACAGTCAAAACCTAATGAAATGATTTGTTAATTAAGATGGATCCATGAATGTCCGGCTCAATCAAAATGTTGCCCGACGTGCAAGAACAAAGCAGTGACACGTGATTTCCGACCATTGTATGCAAAACGAATCGTAGTTGTCGATAAAAGTGAAGAGTATCGCCTACAGGATCTCTACGAAATAGAAAAAACAAAAAATGTTGAACTTCAAAGCACATGCAGCGCCATCAAACTCGAACTGGCCGTTTTGAAAGAAGAGTATTCGAAGCTCGAGCTCGAATGCAATCGGCTCAAAAAGCACGGAACATTCCATGACGCACCGCACACATCATCGCACCGTGAAATTATGTACAAAATGTCGATGCATAAGAACATTGACCTCAGTCGGGAGGGTGGCTGCCGTGCCATGACCTATGGTCGTCGCATTCAAACTTTGATTCTATCACAAAAGTCAGGTGTTACTCTGTTTCCAGGCTATGGCGTTCGCTTTGTTAGCGCATACAATTTGCAACCGACCGTTTTCTTTCGTATGTCAACGAAAATGATTCGCGATTTATCACTGGACAGTGATGAAGAATTGCTAGCGGCAGCTTCCCAGGATATAAATGCATACATTTACAGTGTTACCAATAATACGCCAGTTGCCACAATCACCCCGTCGACAAGTCAAATCTGGGCAACGTCATTTGATAAAACTCGACCGCGTTACCTCCATCTCGGCTCCCAGCAGGGCATCACATACATTTACGACGTTCGTAATTGTATGTCATATGTTGAGCAACTACCAACGCCAGGTGATTTTAGTCCGGTTATTGGCATCCAATCGATTCCTGTGTCGAATGACTTTCGCTTCGGCGGTTTCATCGTGTGCAAACTGCAAAGTTTGTGGTTCTATGAATACACTGGTTCAGAGCGTATCGAACAAAGCAAATTGACAGTCGACGGACCATTCGCTTCTATTAGCTACGACGACCAAACAAATGCACTACTCATTGCCACACGTATAAGTTCAAAGTATCCACAGACCCGTCTGATTGTGGCGAATTTGTCAAAAATCGATCAAACAACAGTATTACGAACGGTATGCACAATTTACGGATCTCGAACGCAGTCCGTGATGTCACGCAGCACGCAGATGACCGTTGGAAATGACTCGCTCGTTGCAAGCTACTTGCAAGACACGAAAACCGTGAGTATGTGGAACGCAAAGAATGGCATCAAAATGCAAGGATTCAACGTTGACGACTGCATCATGGACATGTGTCCGATGTACTTGAATAATGCAGCATTTTTGGCTACGCTCAGTGACAACAAATGCCGAATATTCCAGGTCAATTCCGTTTAAATTATCTATTTGCCACAGTTTTGTTTCTTAAGTTTTGATAAGTTTCCTTCTTCAATTGAAAATTGTTTGCGAGTAATAAGTACGCAAAAGTGCTAAATTATATCTCAATAAGATTTAC